TTGTTGGAGGCTTTAAGTTAAAGCCAACTAGGAAAATGCTTTTCCAGAAGCAGATAATTTAAGACATGCACAGTAGACAGCTTTCCGTTAGATGTCACAACAGTACTATTATAATGAGGCTCGTACCCCTCCTAATTTTTCCTTGTGGCCACCTTTTTCACTTGGCAGAAATATTCAAGTAATTAAAATTCTAGATACTTGTTCTCATCCCCTGAAACAGTTCCACCCAGTTATGGGGTGCGAGATTGCTTAACTGTATATTTGAATAAAATGGGTAGACCTCCCACCTGGCTTATTCTTTAATCATCTGACTTGTTTGATTTACAAAGACCCTGGCTTAGAAACATGGTCTAAATCCTTGGTATCATCCTCCTAGTAGTCACACTGTCAGTCTCCCTGGGGCACTCCATCCTCTCAAAGTCTTAAATGTGTATGGACAGCTATCTGCTGGATGTTAACTGGGCTCTCTTGGCTGGGATGACCATGACTCAAACACTTGATCATGAGGACCCCTTAATCTACGGATGGTGGTGACTGAACGTGGTGCTGATGTCTTATGTTTTGATCAGATTCTTGCCTGTGGAAGCATGACCAATACGGAGAAATTGTTAAACAAGGTCAATGGGAAATCATGGATTTGGACTGGGCTTTTTGGGTTTGGCCCAGAAATTTAAACTTTCATCATAGTAACTGAGCTTTGGATGGTTGCCAGAGGATCTGTAGCCAGTTAACTGATTAGGCTGTAAACAGCTAGTTACATTTAACTGACAGTTTGGTTTTGCTGTTTGTTTACCCCCCACATCTGTTTTTCTCTAAGTACTGTCTGAAAACATTGTTGAGAGTTCTTAGCATACAGAACCAGGGCAGGTTCTGTCATATTTGTGAATTGTTTGTGTTTTTGCTTTAGTAAAATACACTCCACTGAGCTTAATTGATCTGGGGATTTTTCTTTCTAATTGGATTGGAAGTCCACCATTGGCTGCTAGCATATGAGATGACCTTGTCTCTTGGAACACAGAGCCCCAGAATTCAGCAAGCTGCTGCTTTGTGTTTTCCTATGAGGACAGAGATGACTCCAGTCCTATCTTTTCTCATGTTGCATTTGTGTTGTGAACTGAGAAGACTACATGGGAAATTGTCTGTTGGTTAATTAAAACTAATAAAGAAGCCCTGTTACAGAGAACAATTAGCTTCCTTCACTTATGGTTTTCCACCAATCATCAAATTTGTTAACTTAATAATATGATTTTTCTGCATTACAGAGGAAATAAGATGGCTTGGATCATTCACAGAGGAGCCTAATTTTGAATTCAGTTATGGCAGTTGGAAATGTTTAGAAAGATCAAAAGCATTAGGACTAGAAAAGTCTGGATTCTAACCCAAGCTTTCTGTAGAGAGTTCTTGTGGATCCAACTACAAAGCCCATTTGGGCTGGTTTCCTCATCAGCAAGAAAGGAATGTCACGACAGTGTTTGAAGACTGTACTGAGGCTTAAAAGGGCACATGAGAAGTATCTTGACCAGTGCTAAAGCACATATCTGTACATAATAAATTTACAAGTTCCTCTTTGATAGTTTCATAGATTTTAATCTTTAGTTTCCTCTATCCAGGAGCTTTAAGAAGCACTAGTTATAATAGACTTTACCACAGACAACTTTGAACACAATTAACATACTCATATCACTTGCCCAGGCCTCATTCATAAGAATTGCCTGCCCTTCCCAACTATTCATTATAAACCCAGTTTCCCAGGCCTCTTCCTAGGTTTTTAAGTGGATCCAGGACAGGGTCAGGGAATTTGTGGGTTTAATAAATATCTGAAGTAATTATCTTCCAGGATAATACTGACAACAGAGTTTGGTTTTATTTATGTAGTGCAGGGGACAAAACAACCCCAGGCCTCATGCAAGCTGGGTAAGTGCTCTACCATTGATCTATAACCACAACCCCATAACATAATCAGTGGGTCTGAGATGGGGCCTAAAATCATTCATTTCTAGCATGCCCATGGGGGATGCAAAAGTTGCTGGTCTGAGGATGACACTCTGAAAAGGTCATTAGGGTCTGGGTAACTGGACCAGCAGTTACCTAGTAAGTATCTTAAAGGTCTTTCTGTGATTTCACAAGGAGGTGGGAAAATGAGTTAAACAAAATGTTAAGCTGTGAGTGGGTAATTTCTTGTTTTTGCTTGTCAACCTTGACTACACAAGAAACAGTTTTTAAAAATTATAGATGCCTGGGTCCAAACTTCAGATACAAATTCCCTAGTGTGGCCAGGAAGGCAGTCCCTGAGCCAGTTTAAAGCTTGTTGATTCTCAGAAATTTTAGCCCTGCATAGGGCCTGCTAAACCAAAATCCGCAAGTCATGCTACCTTATCTCCTGTCACCAAACCAATCAGTTTTCTCTGAAGGGCTCGGCTGTTGAGTGCCCAATGTGATTGCCCCACATGAGTAGATAAGTATCAATTTTTTAAGAAGTGATTTCTCCTTAGCTGAACAGCTATCTCCAGTTCTTGAATTCTCTGGTTTTCTTAACAATCTTGTATCCCCCACTCCCACCCCCATCCCAACACCCATTCCAAAAGAGAACTTGTGGCTTCTGTAGGTGGGACCCCATTGCCCTGACACTGTTAAAGATTTACTAAAAAGCAATGCCTTTGACTTTAAGATGAGCCCTCACAGTTTGTTAGGGAAATGCTATACCAGGAAACACATGTATAACTACCTACCCCTTGCATTTAAAAAAAAAATAGCACCATGTAGATGTTGACAATTTGGTGCAAGAAATTATGTTACAGTGGGCACATCCATGAGAGCACAATTGTCTGGATGTCTGCCCTTTCATGACCTCCGTAGTGTTATAGTGAATGAATCTTCATTCTTTCACTTGTTTCAGACTTCATTTTATGTATTCACTCTAAATTGGTTGCTTAACAGTGATTGCTGTGGTTCTGATATATATACTTTGTGGGTTTTCCCTTCATGGCAAAGGCCGACTTTACTTCATAGTATGATATCAGTACCATTAAACTGGCCATTTCCATAATTGCTTTTTAAAAATATGATTCTTAGCACAGTAAATTTCTCTAAACCAAGAGAAATATATTCTCAGGCAATTAGAATCACTGTCATGGTCCTGTCCCCCATCTTCTTTTAACTTGTAGTAGAAGAGGAGGAGGTGAGGCTTTTTCTACATCCCTGAGCCCAGCACTTATCTAGGATGCTGTGGACATAGTTTGAGTATGTTCCCCAAAAGTTCATGTGCTGGAAGCTTGGACCCCAATGTGGTGGTGGTGAAGTAGGGCCTACCACAAAGTGGGTGGATCTCTGGGGCCACCAGCTTTGAAAGGGATTAATGAAGGTCTCTTGGGATCTCAGTTATTCTTACAAGAGAGAGCTATTATGGTCCTGCCATTGTGATGCCATCTGCCCTCATCAGAGTCTGAGTGGATGGATCAGCTGATTCTGGACTTTCTGCTTCTATAACTGCACCTTCTTTATAAAGTATCCTGTCTTCGGTATTTTGTTATAGCAAATGGCCTAACAGGTAGGCTAAGGGAATATTTAAAGAGATGCCCCACATCCCAAAGAATATGAAAATTACTTAAAACATTTAAATCACAGTAACAGCATAGAGTTCTTGAATTTGACAAAAATCTCTCTAAGGATGAACAGATCTGAAGGAGTAGGTAAGTGGCAAGGAGACCAGATAGGAGGCTACTGGGCTCATCTGGGGGAGAGATGATGATAGAGATTAAGGGTTCTGGTAGCAGAAAAGTGATGAGAATAGGGAGCATAAAAGTGATGGGAATAGAGAGCATTTTGCAAATTTGGTGATTTTGTATGTGTGTGTGTGTATTCAATGTTTTTAAAAATATTTTTATTCTAATTTGTTATATATGACAGTGGAATGCATTACAACTCATACTACACATATAGAACAATTTTTCATATCTCTGGTTGTACACAAAGTATATTCACACCATTCGTGTTTTCATACATGTACTTTGGATAATGATGTCCATCTCATTCCACCATCCTTTCTGACCCAATGCCCCCTCCCTCCCACCCCTTTGCCCTTTCTCATTGTTTTTTAATGTAAAGGGAGAGTACATGTAGAATCTGGTCATGTGAGAAGACGAGGAACATGGCATGCTTTGAGAGAAGGGTCTGAGAAGAGAACGGGCACACTTTGGGATGTTTTGAATATGAGTCCTCACATACAAATACCTAAAAGTGAAAGGAAAGACCAAGGGGAAAGCAAAGAAAAAGGCCCAGCAAAGAATGAACCCAGGGAAACATTGTGTTTAAGGAGACAAGTACTCGGAAGAGGGCAGAATTTTTAAGACAAAAAGGAATAGACAAAGGTTGAAGAGAAGTAGGAGACAGATGTGTCGGGAAGCCTGGTGTTCAAGGGGGACATGGCCTATGTTAAGTGATGCCTGAAAGTGGGCTTTGGGTTCAGGGTGTCACTGACTGCCCTCAGTACAATGTGGATGGTGCAGTGGACAAAGCCAGATTCTGAAAGTGAGGGGTGATAGGAAGATGGGAAGGTTTCCAGCACAGACTACTGTTTTAGGGGGTCAGCTGAGCATGGAAAGAAGGAAAAGCTAAGGTTAAGGAAATGGCTTCTAAAAGGAGAGACAGGATGGCAGGAAAAAAAAAAAAAAAAACCATGAGGGGGACCCCAGTCATGGATGGAGCCAAGGCTTGGGAGAATGTGAGGAGGTGGAATGGAGAAAGGACACTTCTTCCCTGGAGACTGTAGGGAAGACAGGTGTGGAAGTTGATAAGTCCTTCAGAGGAGGAAGTAAAAGGAGTTTGAAAACAATCTTGAAGAATGGACTGTTTGTAGAGGTCAAAAGAAAAAAGACAAACCATTCCAGTCACCAAAAGCAATGTGCAAAAACCCATACTTTCTAAAATAGACTGATAATCAGTAATGTCTTTGGAGGTGGTATGTATATTTATGTATGTGTTTTAAAAAAACTTACTAGTCATTATTTTCATGCTAAATTTTTATTCAATATTATGCAACTGCATAAGTATAAATATTTGTTCAATATACAACAATTATGACATCCACAGGGGAATTTCTTAGAGAAAATAAGACTGCAAACACTTTATTGCACAGATCCTAACAAACTTTTAAGCTGTTAAGTCTACAGCTGGGAGTACTACCGAGGAGCACATCTTACAATCACACAGAGACTGACCAAAGAGAACACAGGAGAATTTCTACCAGCTGACTGGAGAGCTTCACAACAACAAACAGGTAATACATGAATGCAACCTTAAGTACTCTTTACTCATCCAAAATGCAAAAACATATTTGGCAAAAATGATAATACACTATACAAAATATACATAAAAATATCCTTTGTAAACAAGCAGCTAATTGTGCTTTAAAGAAAACTGGACAGTTAAAAAGCAAAGGCTGTAAACCATGAACTACCTCCTGGACAGACCTGGATTGATGTCTGAGTGTAGAAGGATCAGGTTCTGACAACTGCCAAACATATGTATTAAAAGCTTTGAGACCACTTTCAAATTCTTTTAAGTTCTTGTAAAAAATATTTTTTTTTCTACATTTCAACATGTAGTGATGGGGAATGGCTAAAACTACATGGAAAAAAACAGGGGCAAAGAGGAAACTTTTTTTTTCCTGTCATTGCAACTCACTTTACAACAAAGGACAACTGAGTAGTAGGTTGTTATACCTTTGTTTATGGAGTGCTTACAGCCTTGCTAGATGATTTACAATCTATAGGGCTGTACAATGATGCTGTGATTACATAAACAATTTTATAGCATAAAGCTACTAAGACATCCCAAGGGGATTTGGGGCTAGGTTAGTCATTTATTGGTAAATTTTTCATCTTACAAAACCAAAACTCCTGCAATGTGTCCCAAGCATCTTATAAATACTTATCTGCATTGTCTCTCAGTGCCTTAGTACTTATGTCAGCAAGTGCCATCTCACAATTCAAAACAAGCCACCAAAAAACTTCAGCAAAAAAAAATCAAAACCCCTCAGCACTTAAATGATTTGACAAATTCTACATATTTCATGGTATACAAAATTTAAATAAGGCTTAGCAAAAGTAAAAAGGATGATCACATTCAAGCACCAAATAGCTCCACTAAGTCTCTTTTGTTACAAAAATGCTGCTCTTTATTAATACAGTAGTTTTTGCATACAAATAGAGAGTTCATGTTATGAAATACATGGAGCTATTCGATGCATCAGAAATGAATGTGAAACCCAGGAACTTGCTAAAAACAGCAAGCTTCATCTACAACATAAGGCCCCAGCTATGTATTAAAATGTATCTGATGTCCTGATTATTCCTTAATATATATGCTATGATGCCAAAATCCAACTCCCCCCCTTCTTTTCCTCAAAAAAGCAAATTTAAAACCTCTTCCAATGCCTGATGCTTATCACTTGACCTAAGTACCAGCAGATTTGTGTGCAGCCAGTTATTTTATTTTTTTTATTCAAGAGCAGGGTTGGTGCAGGACTACCACAAAATGTGTGCTTCTTGGACTAGTCACTCATAGCACAAAGGCCTGAGTGAAACCGTTTGAAAAGAAAGGAAAGAAAGAACAGAAACAAAGGTGATATGTTTATAGTCCCTGCTCTACCACCAAAGAAGACCAGACATATAACTGACAGACAAGAACAACTGGCCTTTTGGACAGCAGGACCTAAGGATTAAAATGTCTACTAGGATGACTGAGAAAGGAAAATGGCTAGCTTCATTTGTCCTGACCATTCATAATGGAGGATTCCAAATGCAGCAATCAGAGTGCTCTTGCTTTAGAACTGGAAATACAGGTAGCCAGATCCAGTACTATCAGAAACTGGTTTAAAAATACACATTTAAAAACTCACAATCTACTGTATTTAGGGCTTTCTTTCATCTTTAACTACTTATAAAAACAGAGCCTTGAAATATTCTCAAACCACAGACCAAAACATGTGGGTGGATGTGTACATACATGAATATGGATGTATCTATTTTTACACACACCCAGTTCTGACCATTCTGCTTCATTACTACATTATGATAAGTGGTAAAGCAAAGATCTTAATTTTAAAAAGCTGTAATAAACAATGCAATCAGCAGCAAGGTATAGACTCTACATCCCAAACCAAACACATTGCTAGATATTTACAGAGAAAAATCTCTTTCCTCAACAATCCTTAGCTGTAAAGGTATTACTTCTTTTTTGTACAAATACCATCTGGCAACAGTTCTACCGGTTCCAACTAGGAAGGCATCTGGAAGAAGGTTCCCTCTCTCTCTCCCACTCCTTCTCAGTGAGGCTCTAAGCTCTGCCTGGCGGACATTCCCACACAGTGCTGGTTTCGAAGGTGGTCAAGACACAGTTACACATTCAGGTGGGGTCTCCACAATCCTGCTCTGGGGCCTGCCCAGTTAGGAGGCTTTTTTGTGAGGGCTGCTACGCAAACTCTCTTTGCCCCGTCTCTGCCGCACCACAAAGTCCTTCTCTGAAGAAAGGGTGATGAGGCGATCAGAGTTTGGGGCTTGGGGTGCCTTGATTGCCTCCCTGCCCACATTCTGTTTCCTAGTGGGGAGAGGCTGGGCGGGGGCAGGCTCTCGACCTTTGGTTTCTCCTGTGGCAGCGGTGACCGAGAGCGCTCTGTCCCTGTGGCCTACTCCGCTCAGCCCCTGTGAATCTGAGTGCTGTGACTCCAGAGTAGAGGTGGTGAGGCGGAAGGATGGCAAAGAGTCACTCTTTGTCATTTGGGTTCTGCCATCTGCCCCAGACTGGGACTTCCTGTGGTCCCTGTTGCTGGGGGCTGTAGGCTCAAGTGCGGCCCCATTGGACTTGGCAGAAGAGGGGCTGCTGCTGGCCGTGGCAGCATCTCGAACTCCAGGCCGGGCCTCGGGGAAGCTGGAGGAGTAGCTCAGAGACTTCTCTGGGAGGGCAGAGGATCGGAAAGAACTCTGCCCAGTGGCCGAGGGTGACCGTTTCATGCTGCTGAGCTTGCCAGCCTCAGGCAGGGTCTTCTGGGGACCAGGTCCCTTCCCCTTGGCCTCTGAGGAGCCCTTTCCCACCGTTGCACCTGGCTTCTCTGTGCCTTTCAGCCGGGCCTCACCATGAGCTAGGGAAAGGCTGGCCTCCAGCTTCCCGCTGTCTGCCGCAGGAACATAAAGTGCTTCTGTGCATTTCTTCCCTTCTGGCTTCCTGTCTGCAGCGGGGACCTGCTGACTTGGGCTTCTGTCTGTCTGTCTGCACAGAGGGGGACAGTCTTTCACAGTGGATGGTTTGGGGTGCTTTGGAGACAGGCTTTGCTTTTCACTGACAATGGGAGGTTTATGGTCTACTGACTCGCTGAAGCCTGGGTGTCCTGGCCTTGGCAAATGCAGCTGCTTCTCCTGCATCTCTGGGCCATGCCCACTGCTGGGTTTCAGTTTGGGATCAAAAGGACTCTCTTCAGTGTGCAGTGGGTTGAAGGGCACACTTTCTCCCCCACCACCCACCTCGTTAGCTTTGCTCTGGGAGCCTGGGATGGCAGTGAACACATCCAATCCACCTTTACTATTGCTCCTTCCCTCTCTGCTAGAGCCACTGAGGGGCTGAGTGACAGGCTCTTTGCCCTTTGCAGTGACAACACTTGATTTCTGTGAGGAGAGGGACCTGTCTGGGTGCTTGGACTTTGAAGGGCCGGGGTCAGGGCCAGGTCGGAGATTGTGGTCACTGCTCTCACTGTGCACAGCAACAGAAGGCCTAGGAGGATCCTGGAAGGCTGCTGCAGGTTCTGCCACACCTGGCTTGGTCCCTTGGGGACCAAGGCTTGAGGAACTGCAGTGCTGCCGAGAGGCCGGGCCGGACAGGTCTTTGGTGGTCAGGGGGTGCTGAGAATCACTGCTCACATGCCTTTGTAGAGGCTGCTCTTTCCTGTCAGGCTCCTTGGAACCCTCTTTCTGCAAAGAGGAGAAACTGGGGAGCTTTTCAGTTTTCCTACTCTCAATTCCGAGTGGCTGTAGGGGACACTTGGTAGGGGGGGCTTCAGGCTTGGGTTCCATGCTACTTCTTATCTTGCCCACCTCCCTTTCACAAGGAATTCTAGCAGAGTTCAAGGAAGAGTCCTCTCTGATCAGGGACCTTGCCTCACCTTGGCCATCTCTGTGGTATATCTTTGCACAAGGTCCCCACGGTTTCTCCGGGGTCTGGGCCTGTGTACTACTAGCATCTGGGTGGGTCCTTCCCACAGAAGGGAGATTTTTGCAGTTGTCATTGGCTTTAGCAGTCTCTAGAGGATACAGTTCCACAATGGGGTCTCTGTGCACATCCGCTCTCAAGGCAGAACGCTCACTCCTCCCTGTGGAGGGTCCCTTTTCAGATGGATCTTTTAGGTTTGCCTTTTCCTTTGAGGGGGCCCCTTCAGATGGGAGAGGGCCACATGGCCGAGCCTGGTCATTGCAATGCTGTGTCTGTCCCAGGCCAGGGATGACCTTGGTGTCAGTAGCACAGTCTTGGTGTTTAGTGGGGCCACACACTCTCTGCTGGGAATCGTTTTCCATGACTGTCAATGGGCTCCTGGCAGCAGGATGGGAAACTTTTCTGTCTCTCTTTAGCTCTGGGTCGGGCAGGGAAGCTGCTGGTGAGTTCTGGAGACCCCGGCTGGGGGGCAGGAACCGAGGCTCGAGCAGGTAGGCTTTATTCATCTTTAAGCTGGCAGGGGAAGGCTCTCTCAGGCTGGAGGTTTCACTCTTCTTCCCACTACTGCCAGGAAGAGGTAGTGGCACAGAGGGTGCCATGTCACCACCAGGGCTGGGACTCTGTGTAGGCTCTGGTGATGGCTGCTCTGTCTTAGAGGCATGGGGCCCAGACAGAAGAGCAATGTCCAGTGTACCCTCAATGGGCTTCAGGCATGAAACTGACCGACCCTCCAGCTTATACTCAGAGGGGCTTTTCCTGACAGGGGACTCAGGAGCAACCAAACCTGACTTCTCTGCTCCACCATCCACCCGGCCAGCTAAGGTCTTGAGAGGAACAAAGGAGACGGTGCTCATCTGAGTTGTGTGGGTGCTGCTCATAAATGCTCGGCTCTCAGAGCCAGGTGGGGCCTCCTGCTGCCCACCCATGGGTCGGACTGGGTTCCCTGGCAGGCATTCATGGGTGCTAGATGTTATCTTGGGCTTCAGCATGGAGCAGTGGCCATCTTCTTTGTCTTCAAGTGACATTTTCTTTCGGAGGTAATCAATATTGGCCAGTTTACTGTCTAACTTCTCACTTCGGAGGAACTCCTTGGCCTGGGAGGTCTTCTCTGTGTTTTCACCCTTCCCAGAGGTGGACCTGTCAGGGGAGCGACAGAGACTGTCCTGGAGGGTGCTGGGAGCAGAGGCCCTTTTGAAATCACCCATGCCCTGGTTGTGCTCCCCTGGTGCTGGGCCACAGGCAGCTGCTGTCCCTTCGGAGGCCATCCCCTCAGTGGCCCGCACACTGGCCTGCTTGTGGAGAACATCTTTCAGCCGGTTGCCCAGAGACTGGGCCTCTGCTGCTTTGTTTTCAAAATGACTTGACCTTTCTAAAGGCTTGGGGTAGACTTTCTTCTCTCTCTCCTCTAGCCTAAAGAGAGCGTGATTTTCTGCATCACTGCTGAGACCATGGGGTTTCTGATGGGATTCAGGCTTTTCTGGGAGGCCATCTGGTTTCTTCACTGTCACCTTGGACTTCAGTTTGTCTCGGTCCACGTCGTCCACAGACTCCTGCCGACCCAGCTTCCTGGAGACCGGGCGTTTTAGGCAGCCTTGCTCCACTGGCCGGGCACGACTTAGGGACGGGGCATCGCACACGTTCTCCTCCAGGCTCTGTAGAGTTGCCTCCCGCTGGGACTGCTCCCTCTGCACCTCCTCCTGGGTCACTTCCAGACTGTGTTTGCGGGAGCACAGGTGCTTTTTGTCACTGCCATAGGAAGGTGACAACTTTTCCTCGGACTGCACACGCTTGAGCAGCGGTGACCGTGGGGGCTCAGCACTCTTGGGCCTCACAATGTGTCTGACAATGGTGGGGGGGGAGTGCATCTTGCTGGGAAAGGCTTGTGCAATCTTGGTATTGCCAAGTGAGTGTCCCAATAATGGGGATGGTGAGCGTTGTGGGGAGGTGGGCTGGGGCGTTGGAGAGGGTGTCCGGGCCAGCGGGGAGAGTGGAATGCTGCCGGCTGACTTTCTTCTTCCGGAGCGGTACCTCTGCCCACTGAGTTTGGGGGCCAGGCCGTGGAGGGTGCTGGGGCGGATGTGCCCTGACCCGGCTGGGGAATTGGGGGCACTAGAACTTGGGGAGCTGCTCTGGGAGGAATTAGTACCTGTGGGCAGAAAAAAGGGCTGTAAGAATCCAGCGTCCTTGTCCCTTTTTTCCCAAACTTTCCCAACCAGACCACTGGCGGTACAGTCAGCATCATGTCTTAGTATCTCACTAATGAAATGAACCTCCCTACATCCAGGCTTAGCCCATACTACTTGTCTTAGTTTAATAGTCAGAAAAGCCCCTCTGTCCTCCCTGCAAGTCCTGTTTGTCATTTACTTCCTCAGCTTGGCAAAATCTTCATGATGACTTCACTTCCTCTGGACTCTCTCTTGCTGTCTAGACCAGGAGACTTACCAGATGGAAAGTCAGGGGTGGAGCGATAGCTGGGTGTGGGAGATCGAGGAGACAAGCTGTGAGTGGGGGAACCTGGGAGGCTCTCTCCGGATGACAGGGACCGGTTCAAGCAGGAGAAACTTCGACTGGTGTGGAGTAAAGGAGAAGGCTGTTTGGCTAGCTTTTTGAAAAGAGATCTCCTCCTGGAGTGGAAAACAAAAATCATGGATCAGAGCCTATTTTCAGAACCACACCTGCCTCCCTACCACATCCACATATTCAGTTTAGCAACTTTGTCAGATAAGCGATGAGAGGAGGATGCTACTTTTATGTTAAAACTTTCTCATGACTTGTAAAGGAATAGTCTTTTAAGGTTCTCCTAATGCCAAACGCTTAGGAAGAGCCAGGAAAACAGGAAAAATACAAATACATTCAAATCATTTCTTTATTAGGTTTATTAGAAGTGTCTTCTTTGTATGAAAGCTCTGAGTATATACCCCATATATATCAAGAGGTAATGGTTTTTCTTCCAGAGATTCATTTTGTGTTAACTTGGATATAGAATTTGTTAAAGCCTCTACCAATTGTCTCCCCATTATCTAGGAAGGGCTGTGTGCTGTGTTTATTCTGTTGTAGGCTGCTGGATATCCCTAACAACACTGTAGTCTGTGTGTTCACATGGAAAATGCCGGGCAAGGTGAGGCTGCAACTTCTTTCAACGGTAGCAGACATGATACACAGACACGACCATGCACTTAGCACTTGATGAGCAGGTCACAAAACAAAAAAATGCAGCTACCCCTGGCTTATCAGTGCCCCTGGATCTATGGCATTCTTTTACCATCATAGAAGCCAATCTCACCCTGGTGAGCTTACACAGAAAGTTGGGGTACTACTATCCCTTGAAACAATACGTAACCTAAAGCACAATCAAAATATAGAGCACAATCTCTGAAAGAACAGAGGGACTCTTGAACTCGAGTGTGTAATTTTAATCAAAGTACTTGGTGCACAAAGTCATAAACTTACAATGAAACAGCAACTCCCCTTATGCTGTCTGCACACCCCAGGGAAACTACCTTCTTCTACTTTATCTGTTTCTTCTTCCATTTGTCTGTATTTTGCTAAATAATGTGCTTATCCTGGCATTTTAAAAACCTTTCCCAGTTGTAGAAATTATCAGTTGATTTCTTACCATAGAAAATGAGAATTAAGCTCTTGTATAATCTCCTTCTATCTGCTGAACAAATACACTATCCCTTTTCTATTTCTCCCAATATGGCTAAAACAAAGAATTTTAGTTTCACAATGGCTTGTGTTTTAATTTATATCACAGCTAGGCTACGTATAACATTTCTCCTTTTTGTAAAACTTTTCCTTGGAGTTAAAAAATGATTTTTTTTCTTGTCTGCCTATATTCCTATATTTATATCAAGAGTCCTCTTGGTGAGATAAATCTGTCAGATCCAAGTGAGGGAAGGACAGGGGCTGTGGCAGCACAAAGAAGCCACACCAGGGGCAGCCTGGCAAAAGGTATCCCCACCTGGAACACCAGCGCTCCCCCAGGCTGCCACTGTGTTACCTTGTTAGACTTCAGTCAGTTAGAAAAAATCCTTTAACTTCCAGGTTTATTTAGAGGCTTTAAAAATGTACTTATTTTGGAATATCTGGCATTACAAAATTGTTTTTAGATAATCTACGGGACATTTAAAATGCAGATTTAATGTGAAAAACTGCCTCCTACTGGTTCAGTTCTTCAAATTCAACTCTCCTAAAATGAAGTCTAGCAGCTTCATAAACAACAAAAAACTTTTCAGGGTGCTCACAAGTGATAAAAAACTATTAATATTAAAATCCTTCTGCAATGAAAATATGTCAATGCTTTTCTTATGAAAAATAATGCTATTGTGAATACAAACTTCAACAAATATATGTGAACTGTGGCATAGAATTTCTCATAGAGAAATAGGTCTTTCTCATACATAAGCATTTAAGTAAGGAGTAATTTCTCCAACATGGATATATACCAAATTCCCAAGAAGAATGATTTAACTAACCTTTCTAGACTTTCCTTCTTCTTAGACTTCTTGCTCCGCCTCACCATCCGGCTCTTATAGCTGTTTCTCCTGGCTGGTCCTGTTTTGATTGATGTGTTTTCAAATGGGGTAGTGGTGATTGACACCTTATTTCCACTCTATAAAAAAGATGAGGTGATATCAAAGGGGAATGCTGTGATGCAACATAAGAACAGAACAGAGGTAAGAGATCCAAAGACGAATAAATACAAGCATTCATAAAAAGAGCCTTCCAGTTTCTAAACAACCCTTCCATCAATGAAGTCCAGGCAATTCAAATGGGGGTGGAGGGTAAAATATGAAGTCTCTTAAATAGGGTGAGCTCTGGAGACCACATGTTTGAGTTCAAATCCAAGCTTTGTAAACTTGGAATGGAATCACTAGTTGACCCAGCCATCCCACTCCTTGGTTTATACCCAAAGGACTTAAAATCAGCAAATTACAGTGATGCAGCCACATCAATGTTGCAGCTGAGTGATGCAGCTCAACTCACAATAGCTAAACTATGGAACCAACCTAGGTGCCCTTCCACAGACAAATGGATTTTAAAAATGTGGTACATATACACAATGGAATGTTACTCAGCCTTAAAGAAGAATGAAATTAGGGCATTTGTGGGTAAATGGATGGAAGTGGAGACAACCATGCTAAGTGAAATAAGTCAATTCCAAAAAACCAAAGGCCAAATGTTTTTTCTGATATGCAGATGTTAACTCACAATAGGTTGGGGGCGAGGCTAGGAAAGAACAGAGTTACTTAAGGTAGAGGGGAGTGAAGGGTGGGAAGCAGGTATGGGGGTAGGAAGGATAGTAGAATGAAACAGACATTATTACCCTATGTATACATATAACTATACGACTGATGGGATTCTATATCATGTACAACCAGAACAATGAGAAATTATTTTCCATCTATATATGATGTACCCAAGTGCATTCCTACTCTCATGTATAACTAATTAGAACAAATAAAAAATAGTAAACAAACAACAAATCTAAGCTCTATGATCTCAGTGGGCTGGCTGCTCACCTCCTGAGGCCTCAGTGGAGTCACATACATGGTACTTGCTAATGGTACCAATGCTGCCTATCCCACAGGGCTCATCTGAGGCATAAATGAGAGTTTGTAAAGCCTTTAGCACCAAGTGTGACACATGGAAAGGACTCTATAAATAAGTTATCTTCATCCATATGTATTAAGTATAAATGTGCCCAGTGGCTGTCTGCTCTTGGCATGCATATACATACATATATATATTTCTCCCTTTTGTGCTTTGTCTTTGGCCTAGAAATCACAGAGTAGCAAAACTGAATGAGACTTTTATTTTTAATTACTTTAAAAGGTTTCCTTTCTATTGTCATAAAACCTGTCAGTTTGCAGAACTGCAAAACATGTGCCAGCTGGTAGGAAACCTCTTTCTAACCAGATCACACTGGATGAGGTAGTTCCTGGTGGGTTTCTGTGTCTTTTCACTCAGTCTGGGAACGGGAGTTTCCTGGGCAGGCCCTGGGGATGAGTTGAGCATGGAGTCAGCTGCTGGGCCCAGAGTACCCAGGGCAGCAGGCAGTCACACTGGCATCCATAAACTCTTTTTGAATTTTGAAATAACCAGGAAAGAAACATGTCCTTTCAAAGTAAGAGATGGTTCTGATTACCTTGAAAATATGAGTAGGATAAGGAAAAGGGCATTTGCCTAGAGGACACCAGCAGCTCATCTCTAAGTGGTACCAAGTGATGGGAAGTTAAGTGTGGTAAGAACAGGGGATTGAAAAAACAGGGACTGACTGTTTTAATGATAATATCTACTTTCTGCCCCTGATTTGAGACATGCCATTATAAGAAGAAAAGAGTAAAGTAGAAATAAAAAGGAAATCATTGAGAAGCCCACCACCCAACTACACTGGTAATATTTCATGTATTGTCTGCTGGTCTTTTTTATATTTGTGGTGATGGAGATAAAACGCAGGGGCTCATGTGTGCTGGGTAAGTGCTGTGCTACTGAGCTACGTCCCTGACCACTGCTGGCCTTTCTTTTTCAGGCTTGCACGTGCATGTGCACATACACAAGGTTTAAAAACAATTTTAATTTTACTATGTTTGTTTTTCATTTTTTATTATATAATTTTTAAAAACTTTTATCATTAAGTATTATCTTAAGAACATGATTTTTATTTGCTGTATAATGTAGTCTATCACTTGGGTGAATCAAAATTCATTTAGCTATTTCCCTACTGCTATTATTTTCTGTCTTTCAATTCCTAGGAGTTCTCTTACATATTCATATTTTGTTAGTGAAGATTTATCCATGCCTTACCTCCAAGGAAAGTATTTAATTATTGGTTTTTTAGTTCTCTATACATTTAGGAACATATAAACTCATACCTAATGTCATATTTGTAGAAAATATTTTAGGAAACTAGGGTTTGAATTTCAACAAGACACCCCCCCCCCCTTATTCAGAAAGGATAGAGATTTGCATTCTATTTATTATTTAAATAGAAATTTTGGCTAATAAGTATGTAAGGGCTACCACTGAAAGATTTTTGGAACAGGTTATCTCTTCACAAATTGAGTGAGACCAGATAAAAATATGTCTTTTCTTATTTTGAAGGCTAGAGGCCACAAAATGGTTGGAGTTCACCTTTCATTGATGTTCTTTTAATCCTTTTCCACATTCCTATATGGAGTAGTCACCCAGAGCTGTAATGATCATCTGGCTGTCCTATTGTCCACTTGAATCTGAATCTAGTTCTACTCACTTCTATGGAATTCATGACTGACTCTTATGTCTAATCTAATGAAGCTAACCATGCCACCTGGCATGGTAGAGCTTGTACCATTTTCATATATATTCTTTAAACCATTTTCATATATATTCTCTTTACTTTTGGTTTTACAACCTAATGAATGGGAAGGGACTGTCATCCTCGATGTACAGATAAGGGCAATAGATTGAGAGTCCCTGAAATTCTTCTTCCTCAGGGTCACAGAGCCCAAGGGAAGAGCTTGTGCTTTTCTCTCCTGTTCCTCACTCTTCCATGCTCTTCTCTCCCAGACCCACTGTGTAGGGGAGGGTACATCCTGAGTCCCTCTGCCTCTGCCTGGTGTGGTATGTGGTTTGGGCTTGTCACCAGGGGTGGTGAGCATATCAGCATGTAATTTATGGCCGTGAGTCATGCTTGAAGAATCAGATCACCAAGGAAATGTAAACATCAAAAAATTGTATAAGACAAAATATAATTTAGATCCTGAGCACTCCTCATTACAAAACAGTGAGGAGCAGAGCTTGCTAAACGGCAGCACATCACCCCATACACCCTATAAAAACCAAATTCAGTTTTCTCTTTGTTTCTATATGGCTCTTTCAGAGGACAATTCACTTTTGACTTACACACATATAGCAAAGATAATTTCTCTAAGGAGTAATACACAAAGGATGTAGAGTGCAAATATTAGGTTGGAAACATTACTAAGTAGAAAAATGGTAAATGATCGAAAAATAGGTGCTATTTGTGAAGCCTGCCACCTGGTGGATTCATTCTGCTACAGCAGCTGCTCCCTGAATTCCCTTCCTGTAGTTTACCTAGGCTTATCCTCAATTAACTTGATGAATGAGCCACCTCTTAGAGAAATTCTGTGTCACTTGTTTAAAAGATAACAGCAACAACAACAGAAATGTATCCAGCAGATTGTTAATGTTCAATTAATTCACTTTTACTTTAAACTCTTTTGGTTATTAGTGCACAGTGGGTGGGAAATTATTTTAAGCTAGCTGAACTGAAGACAACAGCAGAAGTCAGACTATCTAATCTCTTCTCTCAGCCTGGCTCTGTTAACTGATAAGCTATCAGTTGGCCTTGGGTAATTCACAGAGTTCCACAGGTTTTACCTTTCTTTCTCTGAAAAGTAGAGATGGGGATGGGCTCTTCCTTCATCCCCTTGCCATTGCCCTGACACACTCACCCAACCCCAATCTTCCCACATACCGTATCCTCACATAAACCCAGGTTCCAACCTGCTGACTTGCTCTGTGCCTCACACACCTTGAGATTTGCACAGTTCTTCTTGTTGAAGAGCTATCCTTACATATACACAGCTCTTTGTGTTGCTGAGGCTGGGCCCCTCTTCACATACTGCATCCACCCATCTTTCAAAACCCTGTGCAAATAATCCCCAATTCTCTGACACTATCGCTGTGCCTCCTCCTAGTGAAAGGAAAGCCATCTCTCGTCCTTCAGAACTTGTGTTTTACACTCTGTTCCTTATGCTTAACACTTTGTTTATAACCTGGTATAGCCACCACTTTCCTCTGTGAATGCTGGGCTATAAGTCATTGGCAATTGGAGACTTCATATATAGAGCAGTATTCTGTATATATCATAACTTAATCTATAAGTTAATATAATAACTGTATATTCTGTATATATCATAACTTAATCTATAAGTTAAAAGCTCAGGCTGCTGAGCTACTCTACTCGTTGCCAGTCATCTTGTGCCCCTTCCTAGGAGGTAGGCTTGGTTGCTTTGTTAACTTCTCTCTCCCTTTTTTAAAAAAAAAAATCTATAATATAGAGACATTTATATTTACAATATCTATAACTGCAAGGGTTATTTGTTTTTATTTGTAGAAAATGCAAAAGACTTTCTGGTACCAAGAGCTCTTGCTTTATTATTTTATGTGCCATTTTTGTGTGACTCTTATAGTATATATCATACAAGGCTCTGTATACATCAGGGGCTCAACAAATATGAAAATGGTAATGATGCTATTTGGTGATCTCCATTTCAATATACAGAAGCTCCCCAGAGGTCCTGGAAAGGAAATTTCTAAACCAAGTGGTGGTAAAATTTCAGGGCATCTCTTACACATTGGAAATTAAACTAATGCTATACTAAGAAAGCAGCCTGGCTGAACAGAAGGTTTCCTGGGTTACAGAAGTCAGGCCTGGCAAGTTATCATGTGAGCAGGGGACATGACTGGGTCAGTTTGGTCTTTGTCTACAACTGTAGGACTGAAGAATGACTTCAGTCTATTTGTGAAGTTCTTTTTTTAAAAAAAAAATGTGTTATTAGTTATTAATGGACCTTTTATTTATTTATTTATATTCTGTGCTGAGAATTGAACCCAGTGCCCCATACATGTGAGGCAAGTGCTCTACCACTGAGCTACAACTCCAGCCCCGTGAAGTTCTTTTATGAAGTTTTTGTTTGTTTGTTTGTTTGTTTTTTAAAGATTGCTGCCTTAAAGTCGAAGGGAGATGTCAGGAAAGGTTGAAGGGAGTCACTTGCTACTGGGGAGATGAATTAGACAACCACGAATGTCTATAATTCTATGATTCTAGCATGCTGAGCGACTTTGGACAAGTTTCCCTGAACATATAAGTTAGAGCTTTCATAGCAGGTCCACTTTGAAGCTGCAAAGGGAAATGAGACCAAATGTGACTATGACAGGTAGAAAATGATAAAAAATACTAGACTGGAAGTACCATCCCATGTAAAATCAGCCAGGGCACAAGGAGCCTACTGTTGATACTAGTCACATTACACTCTTTGTTCAAGAATTGTTGGTTCATTTTGGAAGAAAGCTACATGATTACACAGTTCACTGGGAAGATAATTAAATCCCTTGTATCCTCTTTGTTTCATTACACTAGTTACTCCTCTGAGTGCATCCTTATGAGGCACAGGCAGGATCCTCTACATGGATCACAAAGCCATAGGTTCTAAGAGCCAGAGCTCTCCACTCCACTATGCTCAAGCCATTTCAGGGACAGAGCTGGGCCCAGGAATAAATGCATTAGGTTGTGGAAGGTGATCTGTAACCACAGGAGGCAATATATTACATCCAAGACCATCTGATTCTGCTGAGAAACCTGCCAGAAACCTTTAGGAGAAATATATATTCAAATATCATAGAAGCAAGAAGAGAGGTCTTAAAATATAGAATCATATTGACATACAAAATAAATCATGAAAGTGATCAATTATGTCTCAGCAAAATAATGTGTGTTCCTCAATATTTATATATTTCAGTTTAGTTTGTCTTCTGCTTTTATGAGCAGATGTACACTATGATGTAAAGATATGTTGTGGCAGAAGCTATTTTGCACATAACACAATACTGTTATAAAGAATGCAGAAGGCAAGACATACATTATTACCATTTAAAATCCTTTTAACCTTTTTAAAATCACTGATGCCAAGCTTTGAAAAAGCTCTGCTAGGATGAATGACAACTAAAAGAAGCCCACCTACAAAACTTATTCTCTAACTCCAAGGGTCAAGCTGTGCACCTAGACAAAGAGTGTTTTATAGACACTAAGCTCCATTGTCTGCCCACCTTGTGGTCTATTAGATACAGGAAACAAAGGAAAACCTCATGGTTCCCTGGTCTTTATTCAAAAAGGGTGGCTCTGTGAGCCAGTGATGGGGCACCAGGGACCACAGAATAAAGTACTCTGGGCAAAGCAGCTTGTGAGGTTCTTGAATCTTGAGTTTCTTCTTGACTTATTTCTTGAGATGATTTCAGATGACTTTTACAGCAAGAGATCTCAAAGTTGGCAATCCTGCTCTGCCTCCCATTTCTTGTACATTTACTGAGACTCTTGTTCCATCCCAGTTAGATTAGACCATTATCAGAGACAGGTGCTGAACTGAACTTAAAACCTCAGGCCTTATCCTAGCAGGAGCCAGAAGTGTTGTTTGTTTCTACTTAGTGTTGTTTGTTTCTACTTAGTAACCACACAGAAGTCTAGGCTACCCCTGTCGTCTTAAGGCTTTTGCTACCAAACTAAATGGCATGTGCAATAAGACATGAAATCAGGACACAACAAAAGTAGCTATGTAGTCCTTGTCCCTGACTTCTGGACAGCAGGCTTTCTATTCCACAAACTTATTGAGCCCCAAATCCCCAGGGGACCTGAACCCAAGATCACAGTCTCATGAATCCTGTGAATTAACGGCAATAACTTCGACCAACTGACTGCCTCACACTAGACCTCAGGATACACACACTATTGCTTCTGGAGACTAGGTTTTCAAAACCAAATCTTTTGAAAAGTATACTTGTGCAAGCTGAAGGGATAAAAGAAGCGAGGAAGAAGTCATTTAGCTGCATTTAGTTTTGAAAGATATGCCACCTACTTCCTAGGAGCACCTTCCAAGTCCCTCATTTTCTTTTTAAGTTTCACCTCCTAGGTCATTTCATTTCCCTGGGATACCTCGTCCCAACTCACAGAATGTTCTCTCCCAAAGTATGATATTCCTCTTTCTGCTAAAGCCCCAACTAATTGTCGTTTTTATCCGCCCCCGCTTACATCTCCTATATTTCTAGAGGACAAAGACCACCCATGTCACCAATGTCTATAATGAGGGCACCAGAGTCAGTCTGATTTTGATTTTTTTTCTTTTTTGGTGCAGTGCTGGGAATTGAACCAAGGGTCTTGTGCATACTAGGCAAGTGCTCTATCACTGAGTCACATCCCCAGCCCTTTACAGTCAGTCTGAATGAATGTGGTTTAAACCATACATATGAGATTATGCTTATATATATTTATGCTCTTTCTCCCTAAATAGGCTCGGGCTGGTCATGGCTTTTAGAGTCAGGGTGGAGTGCTTGAGAAGCAAAAGACCACCTATAAATTTGTGGGTTTGTTAAATAATCCTAAAAGTAGGGACTGCATTTATTAGCACAGAAAATCAGCTTTCTTTTCAGTATAACTGTCTCTCTCCATTCACATCCATATTTCCTGTGATCTCACTTCATAAGCTCCATTCAGCTTACCTGTCAAACAAAAATTGATCCAACTTAAGCCGACTTATATATTTGTATGGGAAAGAGGGAAACCTAATAATTGCTAGAACCTCTCCTCCCCTACCACTTAGTTCCATCATTTGTAGTACATGTGCACCTACTCAATGATTCTTTTAAAGGAACTCTTAGGCTCAATCTGATTCATGGTTCAGTACTAGTGTCTCCTACTATACTAGAATCAAACCTACCAAAAAATTCCTTAAGAAAATGACCTGAGGTGGATTCCATGATGTGCGAGGTACATAAACAAAGAGTATTCTTACTATGTAGAATGAGAAGCAAAATTAGGAACTGGGTGTGCAAATATAGAGATATTGTTTCATAATGTAAAGGAATTCATAATACTTTGTCTTTACATTAAACCTCAGACTATGAATATCCTCTAAATAATGAGACTGATGACATGGGGCCTTGGAGAACTCTCTCTTGGCACTATCGGTCTACCCATCTTCTCTGCATGGCCATGACATAAAGAAGACAGTACCTTCAGCAGGAGCTCTATAACTTCTGTGTGAACAAGTCCATGCACTGGCTCTCCATTGATGTGTGTGATCAGATCCCCAGCCTTTAGTCCTGCCTGGTATGCTGGACTTCCTTCTTCTACATTCTGAAGTTCAAGAGAAGAGAATGTTTGTGAGCAAACAAATGACAACCCTAACACCTACTGTTTGTTCTGGCAGAATATTTTGAGCAATTCACAAATGATACCAAGCTCCTACTAGGACATCAAAAAGGCATGTTTCCTATTGTGTCATTGTTCTGAAATAGGTTATTTTCCATTTCCTTTAAAAATTTTCAAGAGAATTGGGAATCTAATTTTAAAAAACAACCCCAGGAAAGAAAAATGTAAGTAGGATAGAAATATGATAACCTTTTAGTATGTCTACTAGTTGATATATAAGAATGGACAATCAACTATGAAAACTGGACAGAATTAGGAGAAATTATTAATTTTTGCTAAATTCAGTTCCACCATACAGATAAAGGAAAAGAACATTAAAAGGAAAATGAAACAGGTTCCAAAGGCCAGGATAACAGAAAATAAGTTTTCTATTAACTTTGCTTCAGCCACTCCCCAATCTGACTGGAAGTGAAAACTGACAAGCAAGAGACGGTGGGTCTTACCCAAACGATATGGTGCACTGTATAGATGTCACTGTCTCCCACGTACACCCGGATGGCTCGGATGGTGAAACCATAGTTCTTCCCTGAACTGTGGATCACAATGGGCTGATGGGGACTCGCAGCAGCTGTTGAAGAAGAGTCTCGACTGGGAGAAGAATCTCGTGAAGAAGAAGGATCCGATGACAAGGAGTGGGGAGACATTGGACTTCCCAGTGGAGAGACAGCAAACATATCTGCAACAAAGAGTCAACCGTCAAAGCCAGTCCCAGGCACACACACATCCCTGCAGTCAGCCTCCCCAAGGAGCTCTGTCAGGACAGGGAGCATGGCCACAAAATGAAACCCACTCATTTTCAACAGCAAAATAAAGAAACAGTGCAAAAATGTTTATATTGATAAATGGATGCATTTTAAAACTGAAGCCTGTCAAAGAAACATCAGAGCTGCTTCTATTTTTAGCTAATGTTTCAATTAATATTTAAAGTTATGATTTCTTAGTTCTCTAATTAAAAGAGAGATTAGCTACTTTCTGGCTATGATACTTTTCTTTAATATATTTTAATAAGGAAAAAAATCACGGATGCGTGTATTTCAAGTATGTCCTAGTGCAGAGAAGGCAGTTTTTACTACAGTAAAAGAAACTAGACTCCAAATCTTACTCAAAACAATTTAATGTGGTCCTTTCCAAAAACCCATGACCAGGAAACCAAAGATCAACCTACCAACTTCTTTTTGCAATGTTATTGAACTAGTATCGATTAATGAATTTTAATAAAGAAAACACTAATGTGGCAACTTCTCCATAAAAGAATGACTCATTACTATGCTTACAGATTGATTATCCTCATGTAGTACCTGCAAATAAAATAAGCTTTCCTCTAGGATAAGGCAGATGAGATAGAGAAATTTTATGAGCATCTCAGCTCATATTCCAAAACACCAGTTCTACTATTTTTAAGCAAACTGCTATGTTCCAAATGTATCTGTCCCCCTCCCCACCAAAATTCATATGTTGAAATTTAACCCTCAAAGTGATAGTACTAAGAGATGGGACGAGGCCCAGTGTGGTGGTGCATGCCTATAATTCCAGTAACTCAGGAGGCTGAGGTAGGAAGATCAAGAGTTTGAGGCCAGCCTCAGCAACTTAGTAAGACTCTGTCTCAAAATTAAAAAAGAACTGAGATGTATCTCAGTGATAAAGCACCCCTGGTTCACTACCCGGTACCCACTCCCACACCCCCAAAAGTGGGAGGTTGATGAGATCATGAAGGTTCTGCCTCTCCTAAATGGGGTCAGTGCCCTTGTAAGAGACCTGAGGGAACCTGCTTCCCTCTTCTGCCTGTGAGAATATCTGGCAGGTGCCCATCTATCAGGACAAGTCCTTGCTAGACACCATGGCTGCTGGTGCCTTGATTTTTGGACATCCTAGCCTCTAGAGCTGTGAAGGATAGATTTGTTTTTTATAAATTACCAAGTCTATGAAATTTTGTTATAGTAGCTTGAACACACTGACACAAACTTTCAATTTATAGCTCATTATCACCATTTCATCAACATGAATCTAAACAGATATTAACTGGTCACGTGAAATTGTGTGTGTGTGTGTGTGTGTGTGTGTGTGTGTGTGTGTGAGAGAGAGAGAGAGAGAGAGAGAGAGAGAAGGAGAAAAGAGCAACTTAAAGGGGGTGTTGAGTTTTAAATGTGAACGTTGTTGGCACCAGCCTACTGGCTGGTCTGCAGTACCACTGAGAGACTCACTGCTGGCCACAGTAAGCTGAAAGTTCCAAGTTTTATTTTGTCCAAAGAAGAACAAAGCTAAATGTATCACCACCTCTGTTCCTTCACTCTGACTTCATGAAGCATCCTGGTCCTCTTTGGGGGCTACTTTATGTCTAATCCAAAGGTCAGGTAAGGGGAGGTACAGTTGTGTGAAGGGAATTTCACAGTATATGAGTGAGAAGAAGACAGAGACAGACCCAACTGCAAAACAGCCAGGCCCCCAATCCTCTACCCCATTATGGTCTCCCTTATCACCCCAGATTGAATAGTTTCCCTAAGTGCAAGCCATCTCACCCACTTTTCAAATGTGGACAGAACCATATCAAACTTACCTTCCTGTTATGCAGCTGCACTTGGGCTACACCTCAGGCTAAGAAGGGTCCTTGAGACTGGGAGAAAGGTGTCAGCCTTATGGTCTAAACGGGATGTCTCCCAGAAATGGAATCTGCTAGAGTGAGTCCTACTCCTCAAATGAGCATTTGTTTATATCCCATTTCTTTTGGCACAAATATGAAATTCTAAAAATGCAAACAATCCCTTTTATACAAGGCCTGCATTCTTCCAAACACAAGCCATCTGCAACATAAGTTAGTTCCCACTTCTTCTCTATGGCTGTCATATGAGTGATGTCACAACCACCAGAGTGGGTATTTCATCCCTGCCAGTGGAGTTGCTACAGACTTGGTAGAGATAAAACCAGGTTGTGGAAAAATACTGCAATCCAATTAACCCATAATTTAGCCCAGTTTTCCAAAACAGGGCAGAGATTGATTTGACTACCAATAGGAGGGGGCATAGCTCAACTGACAGAATTGGGAAAACTTGTAATTTCAGTGCTGTGTGTGACGCTGTGCATCTTTAGAAATGAAAATCTTTCATTTTCTGTGTCTATTTCCTTATTAATTGAGAAAAACTATACTTAGCTTTCCAAAACAGATGCTATAAACAGTTCTGTAAAGTGTATAAATGATATGCAGTGCAGAAAAGAAAAATCATTCCAGAAAGAGAAAAGAAAAGAAAGAAAGAAGGCTTCCTATGAAGGAAGCCCCTCTCATTCCCAGATGCAGAGAGTGAGATGAAACAGGCCGTGCATGCTGTTTGGGAGCCCCAGAGGTCCTGCAGGGGGGAATTCAGGGATCCACAGGCAGGAACTCTGGAGAGCTGTCCTGGGACAACACCCCTTATTACTTCAAGCAATCTTGCATCTCAGATAGCATTCCAAGATGGGGGAAGGGGAAGCACATGCACAAATCACACAATTTCATGCGAATAGATGTCTCTCTACCTCCTGGAATCATGAGGGACAGAGCACTGGCAGAAAGGGACTTTGTGACTTTCCCCGAGATTTTCTTTTTTTCTGTGCTTTCTAATCGCTGCCGAGCCATGTGAGAGGCGGGTTCACTGGATGGCTTTGAGGAATTATCTGTACTGTCCACACACTCGCTTCGTCCATTTATCTGATCCAAGTGCTCTGAAAAACTGCCAACTGTACAAAGAGAAAGGAATAGGCACACTCAGGAAAATCCAGGACAGGAGAGATGGAGACGGCAAGAGAGAGAAGGAAGCACATACACTGGAAAACGCTCTCCCATGTGGCCCATGTCCAGACAGTGTCAGGCCAACACGAACAAAGCCTTCAGAAAGATAATGCTGAGAAGGAGACAGAAGAGGTGTCCTTTCAGGCTTTGTTCTCCTTCTACAAAAGTCTGACAAATTGTCATTTGGTGATTCCATTTAACTGGAGGAATAAATTACTTTCCATACTCTATTTTTCAGAACCCGTATGGAGATGACTGTTGTTCCTTCCTGGCCCCAATAAAAAGCCATGCTATGAACTGAGCACTACCTTAGGAGCACCAGGACTACACACTTCATACTCTGATACTAATGATCATCATCAATGTGGCTAATAATTTTGACACAGGGGCACACTGAATCACTCTATTTTGGCTCATAGCTGTTCACCTCTAACCATCTAGTATACACCTCAGTAGGCTCAGGTATGTCACCTACAGAAGAGTGGCAAAAGCATCTCATTTGGCTTGTCCCATGGGAGCCTCCTTTTACTCTAAGCTCTTTGCAAATTTCAATGGAAAAGACATAGGATATTACTGGCTACACTCCTCAGCGGCTCTCTCTCTTCCTGGCCCTTTATCTAGGAGGTGCGTCCTCCATTAACCTTCCCTGAAGTTAATTTCCATCCTCTCTAAGATACCCCTTACTTTATTAACCCTCAGTAAAAAACTAAAGTTGTTTATAAGTTAAAAAAATCAGAGGCCGGGTTGTAGCTCAGTGGCAGAGCACTTGCCTAGCATCTGTGAGGCACTGGGTTCGATTCTCAGTACCACATATACATAAAATAAAGGTATACTGACAACTAAAAAAACATTTAAAATAAATCAGGACTACCCTCAAGAGAATATAAACATAAGGAGTGGACAGCAGTGGAGAATGAGAGAGGCCAACAGTACAGAAAGTTCTTAAGCACAAAGACATAAGTCCCTCTGGGACAAGCTGAGCACTGACTCATTTGTGTTTCTCCTATTCTTTATTACCCAGGTCATCAATTTTCTATTTCCTTTTTAAAAATCACTGATAGTACATTTTTGTCCATCTAAAAGAGGTAATGCTCATCTCATAAACTTATGAGAAGGAAATATAGAATTTATATTAATAGAATCCATTAATTAATAGAATCTAAGCCCCCTGTGATTAAAAATTTTCAACTCCATCATCATTTTAGGAACTATAATCCATGCAGAGTATATACCACCATTACAGATGCTGCTCCATTGAAAGATCAGCCAGTATGTTTTAAAGTGAGGACCACATGACATTCTTGGACCAGGAAGGTGTGGCCTGATTTGACATAGCTAATATTTTGATTATGATGCTGCATACACACTACTCAATTGTGCAGTACTCATCTGGTCCTTGCTCCTGGAGGTGGTCTGGAGGCAGCTCTGGTCTAAGCTAAGGAAGCCTGGGGCTTGAGAGGGTAGTGTGGGCATAGCATATTTCATGGCCATCTACTGCGCTCCAAGTATAGGAAAAGGTTCATGGACTTCCATGGAGACCTCCTTTTTAATAAAATTTTTATTCTTTTTAGTTCTACATGACATGGAATATATCTTATTCTAATTAGAATCCTTATCCTGTGGACCTACATGATGTTGAGATTGACTATAGTGTAGTCACATATTTACATAGGAAAGTTATGTCGGATTCATTCCCCTGTCTTAAAGCACCCATCTTGGCCAACCAAAGAGGACAATCTTAAGGCAGGTATCAACAATGCTTTCATTCCTGTATGCTAAATGCATTCTCACTTAGCTGTGTATCTATCCCAGTCCCTTAAAGAAATGAGCTACTAGAAGGACTTGACAAAACTGCTTCACAGGTCAAAATTTCATCTCCTAAAACTTATGTTTACCTTTGGGTGAGTTACACATTTTCTCTCTCCTTCTAATTGGGTTTGGTTGGAATCACTGACAAGAAAAAAATGAAAAGCCCAATCTCTGGGTGCATTTGAGTACCACTTCTACCATTGAGACTTGCTTTTCAAGAACTCAAATACCATGCTATCATAAAAAAAGAGAGAGAAAGAAACAGGTATAAAGTTGTGCAGAGTGTGGATATTCTATTCTCTCTTGTCTCTGCCACTTCATTTTGCAACACTGACTATAAGCATGTGCTTCCTTTCTGCCAATGGTAGATAATGTCACCTTAATGTTCTCTAAATGTCAAGGGTTCCTTCTTTTCGATGGTGGAGTAATATAAAAATCAACAAATTTAATTTTACTACAGTCACGGTTTTCAGGTTCTCTAATTACCCTTGGCTATAAGCAAATCAGCTCATCTCTCTACTATGTACAACCCCCAAGGTCTTTGATTATTTTTAGTGTGTGTATGGGGGAGAGGGAAAGACAACCGTGGTTTGAATCTATTAATCAAAATGCATGACAGGACCTAAGCAGAATTTTTTTTAATTATGAAAGTAATCAATCAAATGCTTAGACACCGTTCCCCTCCCTTCACCTCCTGCCTTTCTGATAGAGGCTGAAGATGCCAAGAGAGAATAAATAATTCACTATGTGAAGAACAACATGGAGGTGAATACGCTCTACTCAGGGCAAGATAGCTAAGGCCTTTGTAACCAGGATTATAAAATACCAATGTATCTACATTTGATTTGAGCACCAAGATGAGCTCAAAATGGCCAAGAATTGAAGGGAAGTAGGTTGCCTCAACACTACTTTTACATTGCTCTTCTCCTGGCTTTACAATTAGAATAGGTGCAATTATCCAATACAGAAACAACTGAGGTGAAAGGCAGTAAAAGAAAAACCAACCAACTCTACAATCAACTCTAAGCATATGCGAAATGCCACAGATACAAACTTTTTAGTGAAGCTGAAGTCAATCTAGCTGGTGAATTTTTTTTTTGTGAGGGGGTGGGGATTAAAAAGAAAAAAAAAAACTTACACTATGAATATTCAGTTAGTTAAAAAAATTGAGAAAAAAACTTGGAATAATTTATGGTTATCAAACTAGCATACTGAATATGACTTAATAAAAACATTTACTATAGCAACCATAAGCCATATTCACGTTTCATTTTTTTTGAAAAAGCATAAATGCATAAGATTTATAGAAATATATGCTGTGCATGAAATTTTTATAAAGCAAATGATATTTTAAATGCACCTCAAAATCTTGTTGTGAGGGAAGTGCAAGTTTGGTTATCTAAGGGGAACACCTCTACTATTAAAAGTCAGCAAATACTTTAAACATCTATGGAGGCAAAATTACCAATGTCAGGAAGGTTGCTTCACATAAAAGTGCTGTCAAGGAAAAGGCTCAAACCCTTGACTGCCTCCCAAACAGGCAAACATGTCTTGGGAGTGTCTGGGAGGTACATTTTGTATGCAGTGGAGTTAGTTCACATGCATGTAAGACACAAGTTGAAATTGGGTTGGTATTTCTGACTTTCTCTCCCTTCTCTCTCAATCTGAAACATTCTGGAAGGTGTCTGTGAGCCTCACACATAAGAATCTTGCTGCTCTAGTGTGAGTCTAATGTGCAGAGATAAGTTGTTTGCTGCAACGTGTCCCCTTACCAGAAGCCAACTCCTTCAAAGAAACTATCAATCAGCTCAATGCTGGAGGGAAACTGGCTTTTATACTGTCCCTTATGGGGATTCAAGACATTTTCAAGGGTAGTTCTGATGACTTGACTGTTGGATATTGTCCCTTGCTCAGAACTCTTGAGTTAGATGCTACTACACAAGCTGTTCCTTTGCTGAAAATATGCTCCTTTAGCAGGTTCTGCCTGTCTCCAGAGGGTCCCACGGAAGCAGCTGTGGAAGTAGAGCCTGGCTTTAAGGTTAAACTATAGCTAGAACAGCTTGCTGTATGGCCAAGCACTGAGGCAGTCTCAAACAGCTGACCTGAGTTCTTGGGAGTTTGTCCTTCAAGCACAAGAAGGAGAGTCATGACAGGAATCTAAGAGTATAAAACTGCCACCCCCACTGCCTGGCTTGGCCAGCCCTGGGACTCACTTAGACTGGTGGATGAGAGTGGCAGGCAGTGACCAGAGGCTTACCTGACAGGGTGGAGCTGCTGATGGTGCTGGCTGGGGTGGTGACCTCAGGTTCCTCCTGAGCACACTCTTCAGGAGGAAGGGCTGGCTTCTCAGGCTCCTCATGAGGGTCTCCAGGACAGGGAGTGGCTTCATCTTGTTCTCCCTCTGCTGAAATTGCCAGTTTGGGAAGTAGACCAGAACTGAGTTTATGTCTGTTGCTTTCAGTATCTGAAGAGTTGGATGTCGATAACTGTTGCCTTAATTATAAACAAAAACAAAGTCAAATACACCAGGAAATTGTGTTAGAGGTAAATTTTGGAATGAATCATGTGGAAATGGAACTTGGACAAGCCTAATGAAGACATGTGTCATATGGTGGTACTTAAGGTGTGTACCCAGAGCACCCCATTGGCATGTCCAGGGAACTTACTAGAAACACACAGGACCCATCCCAAGACCTTCTAGATCAGAGGCTCTGGGTTGGGCCCAGCCATCTGTGTTTAAGCAGGGCCCCAGGTGATTCTGATGTTTACTAGGGTTTAAGAACCATTGCCCTAACAGCCACTATTAAAAGAGTACTTAGGAGGCATCTCACATACACTTCAGAATATTCTGAACTCCAGCTTAACGTTTCCGTGGATGGCAAGGTTGTGCTTTTGGTTTTGTCCCCAGAGTCTTCTTTTTCTTCTCCTGAATTCTGAGTTATTCGATCTATACTGCTAAAGACCTGGAAGGAAAATAATCAGTGCCTGTTAATATCTTCTAGAAAGAGCTTGTCAAAAGCCAAAAACCAAAAAACCAACCAAACAAAAAACCCCAGAAGTCTTGGGAGGAAAAACTCAGAGTATGATTAAAGTGTGAACTGGGACCAGGTATTAGGAAAGCACTTGTAAGGTTGTTTACTTGAATCCTGAGATGAAGTATCAAGAGTGAGTGTGTGTGTGTGTGTTTGGGGAGCTACAAATTCACTCCCCTCTCTCTCCCCATATCTCATGGACTTTGTATCTGCAAACAAAATACTTAGATGCATTGGGGTTTCTAAGTCCTCAGGATCAATACGCCGCCTCTTGGATTACTTTTTAACCATGAAGTCAATGAGAAAAGAAAATAACAGAGAAAAAAATGGTATACTGGCTACTAGTCAGGGGTAGGAAAAAGAAAAATGAATTGGAATTGAGTGTGATGAGAAGAATAGATAATCTGTTTTGAGATTGGGTGGGGATGAGAAGATCGCCTGGGAGGAAGGTTTCAGTACATACTTGGTGCTAAGAACCAGACTTATTTGTCTTATAAATCATATACACAGGCAGCTTCCTATGTTGCTACTGAGATTCCTGAAGAGGTTAAGGGGTTAGGCAAATCTAAGTTTCAGCCCATTTTTCTTCTCCTTGTTTTTTTTTTTTTTTTCTTTTCCCAGTATTGGGGATTGAACCCAGGGCTTCACACAAGCCAGAAAAATATTTTGCCACTGAGCTATTCCTCCAGCTTTTTTTTTTTTTTTTTTTTTTTAATTTTTTATTTTGAGACAGGGTTTTGGGAAATTTCCAAGGCTGGCTTGGAACTTAAGATCCTCCCCTGCCTCAGCCTCCTAAGTAGCTGGGATTATAGGCATGCATCATGGAGCCAAGTAGTCTCAGCCCATTTTTTAATCTTTCCTGTAAAACAAGGGTGCTGGGAGCCCAGAGCTGGGAGCAAGCCCCACTGCCTCATATTTGGCTATTCTCATGGGTACCACCATGACACCGCTACAATCTACCAGGACACAGAGGAAAAGAATAGGCCTAGAGACAGGAGACAGGAAAAAGAAAAAACCTTCCAAGGCAAAGAAGTAAATAGTATTTGGGGTGGTCTTTGTGGGCCACAAAACAGATCAAGCTCTAAGCACTCATTTAGAGTTAGCAAAGCCTTTGTATTGGCTCTGGGACTGACTTGCCACCACTCTCTCTTGGGAAATCTCTCCCTCTGTCATTGCCACCACTACAGAGAGGGTAGTGCTGGCCAATTTGCAGGTACACTCTAGGTAATCATTTAGAAAAAGCTATAGAGCACTTTCAAATCATGAAATGCTACAAAAAAGCTAAACAATAATCATGTAAAGTGCCATGGCAACAGAAAATATGTAGCAACTGAAAGTGGCAAGAGAGAGAGTAGGGTGCTGGGCAGGTCTATTTCCATTTTTTCCTAGGCCCCTACCCTGTCTCAAAACTTTTTTTTTTTTTTTCTAAATATTAACACTGTTAGTAAAAAGGCATCTTTATATCAAGCAACTCCAAAATTCTAGCCTGATTCCTACTGCCTTTTCAATTTGACTTATAATCTCTACTCCTGGTAGGCATACTGGTAAGTCACACTGGGTAGACAGCCACAGAGATGAGTACTTGGGGCAAGTCTATGCCTCCAAAAGAACGTTTTTTAATTGGTGGGGAGAGAAAGATACTACCACACTAGGGTAGGGCCTGCTGACACCATCATGACAAGGTCATCTTCCCTAAACAAAAGGAATTTAAGTCCAGGAGACGTCAAACCCCAAAAGGGGCATGTGGTTCTCCGATTCAGTCCAGCTATATAGGGTCCCAAGTACTGGCCACAGGGAGCTTATCCCAGAGACTGTATTTGATGCCCCATTTTACTTACTTTTGAAAACCTGTGTGAACATGAGGAGAACTGCCTTATCTCCACATTAAAATCTTCATCATTAGTATCATCTTCTTCTTCAGTTTCCATATGATGATACTTCTCTGACCGAGCTGCAGAGAAATGTTTAGGAACAGTTCCAATTACTCAAAATGTCTGCTTTCAATTTAGCTAATTATGAATCTTTGTATCAAAGCAACATTGTGTTTAAGAACTTGTAGGTATGAGATTGGAAGGCTCAATAACAGAGATGATTTTTTTTTTTACAAAATAAAGGCCAAACAGTGTCTTATGTCGGATAATACACATACTATCAAAATAACTTGTGTCATCCTCAGATTCCAGTTGGGGAATAAATTCTGCCTTCTGTCTCAGCAAACTGTTCCAGTCTAAAGAACGGAAGAAACGATGCTGCTTGACTTCGTATGCACCACCTGGAAGAGAAGAGGGTGGAGACAGAGCAAAGTGGTAAACTATCCTCCAAGTCGAGGTCTTAACAGCTGAAACATTAACTGGCAGAGAAGTAAAGACATCACGGAAATCACACTTGTTCATTCTACAACCAAAACTCGAAAAAAAAAATGTTCTATAATTTATCAGCAGGAGATCAGATTTTGCTAACAGCAGTGGCTATTGCAGTTTTTCTTTGTTAATTTTTCCATGACTTCTTCCATTTTTCAAAGGTTAATGATGTGGCCACTTAAAAACACATTATGCTGAACCTGGGGATGTGGACGCATGTTGGCCCAAAGCAGGCTTACTCATTACAAACCCAAAATTCTAACAAGGTGCAAAATGTGCTCACATCAATATTTCCTCTGGGGTAAGGTTAATAATGATGAATTTTTCCTAAATACTATATAATGGTTACCATTCAATTTTATTGGATTGCTCATTAACATATGTAGGCATTAGATTCTGTGGCTTAGATTCTTAAGTAAGGAACTTACAAACCTGTTTGATGGATTTATAATGCATCCAATAAAAATGAATCACGATTCCTAAGGTTTTTTTTTTTTTTTGGGGGGGGGTAGTATACCAGGGTACCAGGGATTGAACTCAGGGGCACTCAACCACTGAGCCACATTCCCAGTCCTATTTTTTATTTTATTTAGAGACAGGGTCTCACTGAGTTGGCTTAGTGCCTTGCCACTGCTGAGGCTGGCTTTGAACTCGCGATCCTCCTGCCTCAGACTCCCAAGCTGCTGGGATTACAGGCGAGCACCACTGCAACCAGCGATTCCTAAGTTTTAAGCTCCTTTTTGCCAAGTCAGCATGATAGCACAATGTGAGATATTTTTAATTCAGTTCATGATTTTCAATAGTGATTTTGAAATGCAGGCTCATATAATATACTAACACTATGACCATATCAAGAGAAGAGGGTACAAATTATAAAATCATAGCGCAGGAATCCAAACTGCCTCCAGCACACAAAGTTGATGAGAGATTTCTCAAAAGAGCAATACTAGGGTCTACTCAGACTCTCTGCCTCTAGTTGGAATATAAAAGCTTCTTCCTTGTGGAGTCACACAGGCATCTCATCCTGTCCTCTGAGGGATACAAAAGAAACAGAATAGGAAATGGAAGTGGTATGGAAATTGGGCTGTGAGTCCCTTAAGAGAAGGGGTGCTGTGGCTCTGTCCTTCTAGCACAAGGCACAGTTTTGACTCTCGCTTGAAACCTGGGAAGGAGAAACCGGTGCTCCGGAAACAACTTCAGAGAGAGAAAAGTAAACCAATCGAAATCATCCCAAAGAGGGGAAAAGACCTTCTTCTTTAGAAAGCACTGGATTGGAATCTTCATCTGAGTTTCTATCCAGGTGTTTTCCATATTTCTAGCTACATCCTGAAATCTGAGGTTAATGACAGCAGCAAGCAATAGCATCAGTAGTTAATGTCTTGTGGGTCGACTTTGTGCCAAGTATTGCAATGCATTCTGTAGGTATCTTGTTTCCCTTAATTAAATCATTGGAAATAACCACACAAAGGAGGAATTATCAACTCCATTTTTAGATGGGAAAACTAAGGAAAAGCAACAAAGCACATTGGGCTGAGATCCCTTCCGAGGGTAAGGAGGAGGGGCTAAACCCAGCTCTGTCTGCAACACCCAGGGCAAGTCTCAGTGTCTCAGTCCCACCCACATAAGAGAAGGCTTGCATACGTTGCCTCCACACCACCACCTCTCCTGCCTCAATCTGAAATGGATTCACAAATTCCAGTACCTGGGAGCGCAGCCAATTCATTCGACTGTTCTACAGTACCTCCTCACATCCCACTCCAGTCCCTTGTAACATTCTGGCTGTTATCTCACCCCAATCCATAGCTCCGAACAGCTGCCAGTGACATTTTCTTCTAGGGCTCTTTTACTTGGAGAAGCAGAATACAAAGTCATGAGGGCTTTTTCCCTATCCAACTCCCCTACTGTGTTGACAACAAGGGGTGAACAGAGTCAAGCCCTGATGACATGCATCTCTGCACTCTCAGCCCTGCCAGGCTTCTACTGTACCATAATGACTAGCATTTCAGCTGCTGTTGGTGGGAATGTATCATTGGCACACCTCTGACATTCTGGGATGCTCTACTTCACCCAGAGAAACAGTGTATCCAAGGTCAACGGCTACATGGCACTTCCAGAACATACCAGTGCCTACCACACTCTTGGACCCAAGCTGATGGAAACCTCCACTTCCTCTTTGGACTATGACAAATTGATCTTCCCCAGGGAATCAGTCCACTGAGGATCCAGTTCACATTTCTCATCCTTTGGCCTTTGAGCCTCCCTGAGAAGGAGTGGGTCCTGTTTCTCATACATTTATGGAGAGATGAGGAAGAAAAGAATTAAAGAAATAAACTGGGGGAAAATGATCTGCTAAACTGTTCGAAAAAGTATAGGTGATGGCTTTATGAGATATATGCAAATAACTCAAGCAATGGTAGCTCTCAATGTAAGAATTCACCATGAAGGGAAGAGAAGGGAAGTTATTTCTTGATTTCCTATATACATGAGTTCAATGTACTAGATATCCTCATGAACATTTTTCTATTTACAACTCACAATAATCCTATGAGGTGTAGAGTGTGCCCATTTTCATAGACTAGGAAACTAAGACTCAGAGCAATAAAGAAACTGCTTGAGATCTCATAGCTGGCACATGGGAACCACCGGCACTCAGTCATGTCTGAGAAACTCTGAGATCCAGTGAGCCAGGCTGCCACTCAATTCTCTGTGAGTTCAAGAGCATAGTTCAAGGAGGGCGAGGTCCCAGACTGCAAGTTATGCTTTGGCACCAACATTCTCCCTCGAGTTTTCTCTTTTCATGGAATTTTCTTAAACATCCATTATGTTCTTCACACCCTTTTTCTCAGCCTCTCTAGTCTCTCGGGCAAATGTGCATTCACACATTTTCACGGTGCATTATTTTGCCCGTTAAATATGCATTAAATACAAAATGCTGTCATTGGAAGCTGCGTGGCAGGCCTGTAGGATCCTCAGCCTCATTCTCCAGGCCCTACTGGGACCTGTCATGTTGGACCTGCCTGATTGGCAATCACTTCTTGACAATGCAAAGAGCTTGGACAGGGTCTTTTCAGCGTCTCTTTTATGCTTTTGCTAGGGGATTTCTCCCTCAAGCTGTCAAAGATTAAAAAGACTGAAAGCAGCAACCAGAAAATGTGCAGAGAAATAGCTTGCAGCATATGATGTACATACGTGGGTATGCTGACCACCATCACAGCCCTGTCTTATTAAGTCAAGTCCAATCAAGAATCCAGGTATTCTTGGAGGAGGGAAAAGGGCAGAATATCAAATACAAAACTCTTTAAACTGATACTTGAACATTGGAGGAATAGGGACTCTTGAGTGTGCTTTAGAAAGGATGTGCCCACTGAAATATATTTGCAGTCAGATCTTAGGAGGATATTTCTCTAAGTCAGCTGAGCTGGACATCTGAATAGATATTTGTATTATCACAAAGAAATCTTAAAATGTCATTGCTTCTCATATTTGGTTTGAGTAAAACTCACTCCTCAAAACTGTGCCCCATACATAGTCTTGACACCAATTCTTTGATGGATACTGATGTCTCTTGAACCATAAAGCACATCTGACTGCAGGCCACAGAAGGTAGAAAATAATGACTTTGCTAGTTACTTTGGACAAATGGAAAAACAAATAGGGCGGGAGGAAATATAAAGTTGGAGTTCAGCGGACTCAAAGGTAGGGATGACACCACCTTGTATGTTTCATATGTGCAAAAGGAAAGCATGAATTCAATGACAAGCAAAAAATTCAAAGTGGCACCAGTAGTATTAGACCCAGTTCTAAGAGCCTTACCTGGATGACCACTTTTACCCTCATTTATCCTGTGAGGTGTTATTACTAAAACCTCCTTTTCACAGATGAGAAAACAATGAACAGAAAGGCAAGTAACTTGCCCATGGTCACAGAGGTGAGATTTAAACTCAGGTAATCTGACTCCAGAGCTTGTGCCCTTAACCTTGATTTACATTGTTTCCCAAGTTAAAGTCCATTCATCTACTGAAAAGAGCAGAGGCACCTGGAGCTCCAGTTAAAAGGCTCAACTCAAAAACTTCCTATGAAGCCCTGATTTTAAACCTTCTTCAATTCTCTAATGTAGTTTTTGCGAATTTTCTGTGTAAAGGGCAAAGCAGTAAACATTTTAGTCTTTGTGGGCCACAGAGTCTGCTCATGATCACTCGATTCTGCCATTTTAGAATGAAAGCAGCTACAGAGAACATGTTGAATGAATGGCTTTGTTGTGCTTCAATAAAACTTTACTTACAAAAATAGGCAGTGGACCAAATTTGGTCAGTTTGCTAACCTCTACTCTATGTATTATCATAAACTTTAGCTACCCAGCATTACAATCACAAGTCAATGGGAATCTGAGGGTGAATGTGGAGAATAGTATAAATATTTGGAACTATTGCAAATGATCTTTGTCTTAAAAAAATGGGGGAGAGATTTACTTTTTGTCTTTTCTGATATTTCTATTAAAATGTGGTAGATATGAAACATTTTCTAGTAAATAATCCATATCAAGCCAACCACTTATTCTGATGAAAATTATGGATACTGGCTAGCACATGTGCATTTAGATTTAATATTTTAGTCTCATAAGGCAAATGCACATGCTTAGGCAAACTGGGATCTCTAAAAGTCTGTCTATTCAGAATACATGCAAGAAAAGGAAGCAGAAAACTGACAGCAGAACAGTTAAAAAAAAACAATCAGCAAGAAACAAACCTATCTACTTCATCTTGAATAGCTGTGGCTTTTAATCTCCTTGAATCATGGCGCTGATCACCATGATATGACAGCATGGTTCAACCCCAGGCCCTCTTTCCAATAATTAGTTTGAGTACTGATAACCCCTTTCAAAGCCTGTGGATAGCAACCTGCTGGGTCAAATCTTTATGTGAATATATATTTTTTAAAAAAGTTCCACATATCTAATTCTCTATTTCAAATTACTTAAGATGTATGCTTTTTAGGACAGAAGAGTTGCATATGCCCTTGAGATTTACTTATTGAAACAAATAAGAATTTCTGTTTTGCAAAACATGAAAACAAAACAAGAAAAAAATGACCCTAATGATGTCTACACTGGTCTTAATCAGAAAACAAAATGCCAAACAATGTTGCTATAATGTAGTCATGTAACACATCAACTAACAGATGTTGCCTATACAAAAGCAAAACACAAAGGCCTCAGATTGATTCACAAATGCATTATTTCTTGCATATTGACAAAAATCAAAACACATGAGCTCTAACCTGTACCCAGCCTTTCCAGAGGATTCTGCCTGAGAAGCAGAGTGATTAGATCCTGGGCATCTGGTGGTGGGGCCTCATCCTTCTCAGGCCAATTGATTTCATCTGGAAAAAAGAAAAGTAGTTAATAACTATTTCTCAAAGGGTGGTCCAGGTCCCAACAGCATGGACTCACATACATATTTGCTGGAAATGCTCATCTCAGGCCCTGCTCCAGAGCTACTGAAAGGAGAATTGCATTTTAAAATCTTTGGTTAACTCCTCTACAGAGTCAACTGCGAGCAGCATTATTTTACAAGAAACAAATAGCACAGCTTTCCACACGATACGATGAAACTATTTCAATAAGCAGTATCTTTGGCAGAATTGGCTCCCACAAGTTGTGCCCTCTGGTTATTAAGAGGACTCAAATATGAAAAATTGTGGTATATATGTGTATTAAGAATTGTAATGCAAAAAAAAAGAGGTCTCAATATTAAAAAAACCTCCAAAATGCCTGTGCTTCACGTGCCCACCTACTGGGGATCACCCAAAAGTATGATTTTCTCTCTTACTATCCTCAACTAAAAATTTGGCCACAACCACAGAGCTCTTTGATTCCAAGATGCAAAATGTTATCTTGCAAAAAATATTTATAGAGACAAAGGAAAGGTCAAAATACTAAGACTGAAGAACAAGAGTAATACCCAAAGTAATCTTAATAATGGAAGTGTTTAAAATCTGTCATAAATATTAGAATATGTTCTCACTCTAGAGGAGTTTGCCTGAAGATAGGTGTGCGTGCCTGTGCGTATGTTAATGCAATAAAAACATGAGTTATTTCTGTGTGTGCCTGCCTCTAGCTTCCTCTGCTGTGGTTTAAATCTGATTTGGAAAATAAAACATGAATATGCATCTGAGCCGTAAGGCATCAAGAACAAAGCCAGCATTTGCTGCTTGTGTTAATTAAACAGTTGATTCCCCTTGCCACTCAGGCCTTGGTATGTCAGAAAACAGTCTAGTTATAAATCCATAAATAGCTCAGACATTGTATAAAGGAGTTGTACACTGCAGGCAACTCACAAATCTACTTTGTTAAAGTTTACAAATATGCCTGGCTTGCAAAGTCAATGTTAGAAAATATTGTTGTGATTAAGGGGCTCCTCATCTGCAAAGTAAATTTTTCCCATATTTCCATTGCTGGCCTATGTAAACACAGTCCAAAAAAGACTGGAGGTGGCTGATAGAGATGTCAGTGATGCCTGACAAACTTCCAGGAAGAGAGGTCTTTTTGATCTATGCTTTGGGAAAATGTATAATATCAGCAGGTAGGGTAGTGATAGATCCTATTTAATTATAATTTAGCTTTGCCACAAGCTGCATAACAATAGTGAGGGTCAGCTTGCAGGCTAAGATCTAAAGGTTATTGAATTTTAAATGAAAGATGAACAGCTGTTGCAGAAATAACATTACACCATAACAACTACCAATGAAATCATTAACAATCTGTGGATTCAATTTGCTTCCTTCCCATTCTCATTATTTATTATTTGGTAGATATTTGTTTTGGGGTTTATTACATTTTTGTTAATTTCTTCATTGTGCCATTAGCCATTTTTTTCCCATTTATGTAAATGGTATCCGCATTAACCTTTCCTTCCCTGGTGCAAGTTTTCTATTATGGAAAGGAGGACCAGATGATATTTAAACCATTTGTAAATCCCACACCAATTTCTTAGGTTAAAAGAAAAAAAAAAAAAGAAAAAAGGCACACAATAAAAGTTGGGTACATCACTAGCACATTTTCAAATTCCATGTTAACAAAACTTTCTCAGATCAGTTTTCAACACATACTACTCTATCAAGATTACAAAAGTCAGTTATGTGCTATGATGAACAAGTTCTTTTAATTTGTTGGCTCAACTGTTTGATAAAGGTTAATATTTTAGTAGTAAAAACTGTGGCACTTTACACATTTACATTGAATAGCTGCTTCCCAATAGTGACTTAAAGATAACTCCTGATGATATTTACCACTGATGACTTGTCCAAATAGCTCTTCTGGAGTATCCCCAAAGAATGGCACACATCCAACCAGAAATTCATAGAGGATTATCCCCATGGCCCACCAGTCCACTGGCTTCCCATAGCCCTGCCTCAGAATCACTTCTGGGGCGATGTATTCAGGTGTGCCACAGACCTGAAAGATTATTGCAATATTAGGATAACTGGAATATTAGACACGAATTAAAATGAACAAGATGACTATGAATTGTTTTGTCTAGCGTGTACCAGCTTAGCTACATGGAAACATATGGACTAAGACCTGAAAAATAGCAATCATGACACTAAGGCAAATTATCACTTTAATCCAAAGAAGAATAGTTTAAAATTCTACTTGAATTCAGTTTCAAATTGAGAATCTGACCCTGTTTGGTCATTTTACCTATTTTGCCAAATTAAAAACATTTCCAATCCTTAAATCAAAATAGCAATGCATTTTTAATCTGTCATAACCAGGGACAGTTTTAATACTTGTAACTCTGAACTGATTCATACCATGGTATTTCATAAAGGCATGATGGTTGAGATGTGTTTACCTTAAGTAACTTTACAATGAACAGATTGTGGGCACTTGGTAATGAGGCATGCTTAAAGGGAAATGGGCCATGGCTTGGATTTTAGAACCCGTGATTGTACAATGCATCATGAGTTTCAAGAGTACTCTACTGAGACTCCTGATTCCTTACAAAAACAGTTTTCCATTTGTCTCTCTCATACTCTCACTTGTGTGCAATTAGATCATTCGTCTTGCTAATAGACCATAATGCTGGGGGAGGAATTGTGGAAGGAGCGGACAGTTCAAAGAGGCCCAGGGAGACAAATGGGAGCAATTTGCACTTTATTAAACGTAAGGCTTATACAGACATCTAAACCACCAGCACTAATGTGAAGACAGTATACACAAGCAGATTTCATTGGCAATACCGTACTTTATATTTCTCCACTGCATGGAATAGCATGCGAGCTTACCTGTTTATCCAGGAACTCTCGAGCATCCTTCTCAATATGACCCTCATAAAGATTGGTAGTCATGCTCATTAGTCCCACCTTAGATAAACCAAAATCTGTCAGCTTTATGTGCCCCATGGAGGTGACCAACAAGCTATGAAGCAAAAGGACACAGAGAACAACAATCACTTTGAAGCTGTTTCCATGTTTTTAGTTTCCCTTATTCCCTCGTCAATTTGTAAGACTCTCGCATATGTATCAGTATCAACATTATTATCCAACCTGGCCTGGAAAGAGACGTAGTCACATAAAGCTGTCAAATACTTGCCCCTAGTGGCAGAGAACAATTCACAGGGTGGGGCCCAAGACAAGGCAAACCTGATAATCTACTTGGAGGACAGTTTTTACGACACTGTGAAACTTAGACAAATTCAACTATGGAAGTTTGACTCCTTTCCAGTTTCAGAATAAGAGAGTAGAAAGGGTTATCAGTAATTTTATATCATACATCAGGAATTAAGATAAGCAACTCATCTGTGATTCAAGTGAAACAGATTAAAAACACTTGGATGGAAAAATGTATTGTTTCAGATTTCCACTTCCAGCTCTTATTTAAATTTGTACTCATTAACCACAAAACCTATATTTCTTATTTTACATGCAAGGAATTTGAAATTGAATATATTTAAAATTTTTAATTTTAATTCAAAAGAAAATATTTAAATAGTATATATAGTAGTAAATAAACAAAACACTAAAGGAATAAAAGAATTTAAAAAACTACTGGAAGGAAATATAGCAAAATTCTAATTGTTTTATTTGGTAATACTAAGCTAAAATTTTTTCTTCTTTTTTCCTCTGTGTTTTCCAAATTTTCTGGAATGAGGATGAGTCCATTTTATCATAATTTTTTTCAAAACAATACCTTTTTAACATGTAATTTTTTTAATCATTTCAATCAGTGGAGAAAACATGAAATATTTAATAAATAGCATCAAGATGAATAGGTAGTTATTTGGGGAAAATACTCTATTTCAAATCAGATACCAAAATGAATTTCACATAAATTAAAAATTAATAAACAAAGTTTAAGTAAAATGGAATATCAAGTAAATTATTTTAAAATGGGATGGATTACCTAAGTATGGTATCAAATGCAGAAACTATCATGATAGTTTCTTTCAAAAGTTTACATCACAAAGAAAAAAACTTTAAAGAAATTCACTCTGGGTTTAATCTTTTCCTCCTATCTCTCATAAGTTATTATTATAATGCTGGCATTATAGCTTTTAAAAATTACATAAAATCGCCATATATGCTGTTAAAATAACTCAGTTTGAACATTATGGAGGAATTTAAAAATGTACAAGTAGCATTAAAACATTTTGTATACATTAGAAAACAATTGGTATTTGTAAAAGGACATGTGTTTCATCGGTGTACATACTTATCTGGTTTCAAATCCCTGTGTACAATCCCATAATTATGTAGATATTCCAAGGCCAAGACAGTCTCAGCAAAGTACATCCTGGCCATATCAACAGGGAGAGGACCCATGTTTTTCATTAAGGTAGCACAGTCTCCCCCTATTAAACAAAGGGAAAAGATCTAGTAGGTACAGTGTCAACTAGGATTAACAAAGACCAACCGTTTCTTTAGCTTTCAGAATTTCAAAGCAGAATCACATTTGTAAGACATCCCATTCATAGTGGAGACTGTGTAAAGTAATCATGTTCTTAATTAAGAAGTGGAAAAAATAAAGATTTAAGATGTAGGATTTAACAGAGCAGGCTTGGCTCTGAAGTAAAACTGTATTTTGAAGAACTGCTAGCATGACGTCAGGATTATGGTAACAATTTAAAATGTCAGTGTAAAACATGGATTTTGGAAATGGGCTACATGAGTCTTAATTCTAACTCTGCTCTTAAGGCTGAGCTCTTAAGCAAACCAGTCATGGTAGTCTTGATTCCCTCATCTACAACATCAGGATAGTAATAGGGTGGAATTTTTATGAGGATTGCAACAATCTAATAATCTGGAATACTGCCCAACAATATTAGTTATTGTTGTTGTTAAAATAACCACAACAGTGGTTAAGAAAGCAAAGCACTGGTGCTGGAGAGGGTGATGGGTGGAAGTCAGGCAAGCCTGGCTTTTGTCCTCAAGCACTCAGTATCCAGTAGTCTCCCTTTCTTGGACTTTGTTTCATTCACCTGCAAAATGAAAAGGTTTAGCTAAAGGACATTCACTGTTTCCTTGAGTTTTATAGTTTTGCTAATCTGTTCAAACAAGGGCTTAAACTCGATGCTCTGAAAATTGTTGTGGCCTTTACTGATCTATTCATTTTATTCACTTTATGTCAACAAGTCATGGCCACTCAAGATCTCAGAAATTTAATGGGGGAAAAGATGGAAATAAGGATATTTAGAGTATTTAAAAGGCAGACCACAAACCACTTTTAGAAGGAAGAAAAAAAGCTGAAACTCAGGAAGACTGGCTGGATTTTCCTGGCTGTCTCTCTTTTCTCCTAACTCATTTTTAATTTCACAACATATCCTGAAGAAGATATACTTTTAATTCATTTAAGAAGAACAATAGTAATGAACACTTTTGTGATGTGTGATAAAAATACATGGGAAAAATCCCATGGCCTATATTCACACTTTAATGACCAACTGAGGGGAGGTAGTTAAGATTGAAAGCTATTTAAAAAGAAAAACAACCTTTTTCCAAATAGCACTAATTTTCCCATTGTTATAGTAGAGGAGGCACTTTACAAGCAATTATCAGAAGATAATGACTGGGAATACAGCCATCTCATTGCCTGGCTTCAGTTCCTACATGGCTATAACTGTTATGCAGCACAAACACAGCTTCCACAACACAAATGAAGGAGGGACTTCTGGGTACAGGTGCCGTTTCTCTGAGACAGATTTACCTTCCACGTATTCCATGACCATGCACAAGTGGCGCCTTGTTTCAAAGGAGCAATACATGCTTACAACAAAGGGGTTTTCTGCAAAGGTTAGGATGTCACGTTCCACAAAGGCCTGCTGGATCTGGTTTCGAAGGATGAGGTTCTGTTTATTAATCTTCTTCATGGCAAACCTCTGCCGGGACTCCTTATGTCGAACAAAGTAGACTGCCCTAAAAAGGACCACAAGTGTAGGAGTTCACAGGAAGAAAGAAGGTAAGGACATCTTAGGGATCCACTAAGCCTGTAATCATTGACTTAAGTTCATTCAGCTCTATACATATACTATACTGGAAACTGGGAACATCCCCAAATTCCAGGACCCATCCCTTGGCTAGATTTATTTTTTTTTCTAAATTTTTTTTTCAATAAAGGTCATATATACAGCATTAAATTCACTGTCATTACTGAAAAAAGGAGCTGGGCAGTCCCCAGAGGGAGCCAATTTCCAAAAGCTAGCTGATGTTTTCAGTTTTTCCACAAACAAAACAAAATCCAATATCTAAGTTAGAACTGGGAAGAATTAACAAAATTACATATAGATCACAAACTAGATACTTTCTAGCATTAGACATATGTTAGGCACTTTTGCTTGACTAAAACAATAATTTTCTAAATAATACCCTTGGGATCTGCAAAAAGGACCATAGCTTCTGAGAGTATCTGGTTTCCAATTGAGAGTAATTTACTTCCCACAAAATTTCCAGATAAATAAGTGGGTAAGAGGTTATATGAGGCCGTTCTGTGACAAAAGGTAGCATATTTTCTTACTATGGACATCAGCATATGCTACCCGTAAGTCTGTTTCAACAGAAAATGCATGTTTTTAACAGAACCATGGACAGCCAGGTAACTTCATTCCTGCTCCCTCTAATCCCTGGCCAGGGTGTTAAGAAACTTGACTGTACAATGACCAGACCAGTCTGCACTTGAAATCTGCCTGAACTCTAATCCCAATGCTCTCTACAGCAAGACAGTGACCTCTTGGAGATAAGGTAGAGAAGGAAATAATTAGGAGGAGGAGGAGCCTTAGAGCCCCATCAGGATAAGAGTAGCAACAAGGACCATGTCCTGACTGGGCTCCATTCCTCAAGCCTTTCCCCTTGCTTGCCATCATCACTAGAGCACAGCTTTAAATTCTTCAGAAAGGCAGTGATCAAATAGATAATTGACTTACAGTTATCAACTTTTAGAAGGTGTATAATGAGTTACATCCTGCGACCAAATGCAGTTATCAAATAAGAAATAGTTTACAAAAAAAGGCTATTAATCAGTGAAGAATATCTTGTGGCAATCCTTCCAAAACAAGAGGTTATATGATCTGAGATGCTCTGAACACTGTTATTCACTGTGCCTAAACAATGACTGCAAGGAGGACCAGGGCGTCCTGGGCCCTGCTGAACCACTATTATCCAGCTGAATCACTAGTGTAATTCTCAAGTATATTCAAAAGCCCAGTTTAATTAACGTAACATCTTTCTTGTACATGTTCAGCATTAGTTTTTCTTTCAAGTATATATCTCTTTGTCTTTTCATTGTATTCATTTTTTTTCCTCTGCTCCCCAAATCACTTATTTATGTCATCTGTCTCTAAGCATTTGGAAGGGCTTTATTCCTCTTATTCCCCTCTCTCTCCATTTCTTGGGTTTCTAGTTTTTCCTTTACTGTGGAATAAAAATATCTCTTAACTGCCCTCCACAGAATCAACACACTGAATAAACCTGGTGCTGGTTATTCCCATTCTAAACAAAAGTAATGTGGGATCCATCCCCCTGGGCGTCCATTACTTTCCTCAGGGACTAGCAATCCTTCCAGCATGTGCAAACCAAACACCCCTGCTCCCCCAGGCTGGGTCTATACATCCCATCCCATCCTGTTTGCTGGCTGGACTTGATATCAAAACTAACTAACTTAAATATTTAAACCAATGTAATGTGATGTGACAATAAGAAGCTCTGTTTTTATATATATATATATATATATATATATATATATATATAAACTAAAGAAATGTTTTAGAAAGTTTTGACACAAATTACTATATAAAATTCCTATTGATTTATAGGAGGTGAGATTTCCAAAAATTGAAAACATCATAAGCATCTAGACTGCTACATTCAGAATGATTCAAGTTCTTGTACTTAAAAAGAAGTTAAAATTTGGGGCTGGGATTGTGGCTCAGTGGTAGAGCGCTTGCCTAGCATGTGTGAGGCATTGGGTTTGATTCTCAGCACTGCATATAAATAGATAAAATAAAATTCCATTGACAACTAAAAAATATTTTTTAAAAAAGAAGCTATAATTTGGGGCTGGGGTTGTGGCTCAGTGGTACAGCATTTGCCTAGCACATGTGAGGTGCTGGGTTTGATCCTCAGCACCACATAAAAATAAATAAATAAAATAAAGATGTTTTGTCCAATTACATCTAATATATATATATGATTTGAAACTTGGCTGTTTTGAGAAGTCTGGCATCTAAAGACCAGTAAATTCATATGTATTTCGGTTAAATTAAAATGTTTAAGGTACATTTTTAAAAGAACTTTCTACTTTAACCAACTTTTTAATGAACTTAACTAACTAGTAATTCTCTGTGCATCAGATAAAGGGACTTTACTGTATTTTTCTTTTTCCAATTTCCAATTAGATAAAATCAGAAGTCTATAGATAATTTAAGCTGCTTCTAATCTGATGATGGTAGAAGGATTTCAAGACAGATCACAAAGGAGTAGAGAAATTAACTAGCTCATTGCTTAAATATAAGCACTGAGAAACAAATAATAGTCATGAAAAGGGATTTCTGAAATAGGGAATATACTTTTAAAGTAAAATTAAGAATGCAAAATGTTAAAAAGGAAAAGCCAGTACCTTTCTATTGTTTGCCTATAAGTGTTAATTAGAATGCACTTGGTTTTCTACTTCTTCCTTTAATAGACCCCTAGATATATATTCTGATTTTCACATTTAGACTATCACAAGGTAGCCATTCTTATTTTTAATCAAGGATCACCAAGTCTTACATAAATAGTTGTTCTGCAATATTTTCTAAGAACAATAGGAAGGACAGGAAGAATGGAATTGTATAGGACTGCATGAAAAAAATAAGATGCACCAGGCCCAAGTTGACTAGGATCTTGACTAGCTCTCTTTGTGGTACTGTGTAAGTAGTGCTTTAATCTGTAGTTTCAGATTTTCGATTTATAAAATTTGATTTGACTGTCAATCTGTAGTCTCAGGTTTTCAGTTCATAAAATTAGGAGGTTGGCAAGACCTCCAAATTAGAATTTGCTATAACTGGTTTTTTGGGTATGTTTTATGTTCTTGATTTTTTTCCTTCGTACTCCTTTGGGAATGTTTTGTTTACTTGGTAATAATTGTTTTCTTTCACATACACCTTTCCTCCAATAGGTCAAAGTTCTAGACCTACCTGAGCCATTAAAGAGTAAGAGATTGAAAAAGAGAGGAGAGAGCAGGAGAGAGCAAGAAACAGAGAGGGACAGCAGACAGCAAACTACCTAATGCCTGAACATTACACCGAGCAGATATGGCTTCATGTTTCTCTGTTTCCTGTCCCTAGGAGCTGTTTTGTTTGAAAAGGCTTCTTCCACCAACATCCTTGTGAAATAGCAAAATCCAAGGGAGGGAGATGATGTGGAGTGGAAGGGAAACCAGGGACTCCTGTTCTTAGGAGTCAAGCTTCTCTCTATCCAGGCAGGACGGGGGTGTAAAATGGGGTAGAGAGAAATGGACTCTGAAGCTGACAGGACCTAGAGCCAAATGAATGCATCCTATTTGGAGTGTGAATGTCCTAATGTGTATAAAATTATACATGGATCAGAGAGCCCACTATATGAGACTGGGTCTGTGAATCTGCTTGTGGGAATGAGGGGGCAAGTGTTAGAGGAAAGCAGTGAGGAAAGGCAAGGGGGAGTGTGCAGCAGAGGGACATGGGTCAGCTTGCACACGTGTCTCCCTGGTAAACATCCTGGCCCCAAATAATGACGTAACGGGCATCAAGGTTAGAAAGAAAGGCAAAGTGGTGAAGAAATGCAGTGCCTTTTAAATTTAGTGTTTTCTCTTTTGAATCAATTTTATTCTTTCTTTTTCAAAACATTTTGAAGTTATAACTTAAAAATCCAGGACGTACTTGATAGAAGGAGGAGGACCCACTATAACCCAGTTAAGATAGCTAAAAGTTTTAACAAAAGATAATTAAGGGAGAGTCCTGCTTGGAATGCCAGGCTATGTGACCATGTCTCTGAGCCTCTCTTTCCCCACATTCAAGTGGAAATAAGATCACTGCCACCTGAGGCTCTGGTAAGGAGAGCACATAGATTTAAAAACAAAAACAAACAAACAAAAAAACTAATACTGTGCCTGGCACACAAACATGGGCCTCTACAAAGTGCTAAGCTGCACAAAGGGATGCTTTACCTCGAGCCAAGCATAAGAAACATGTTAAATAGAGGAAAAAATGAGATGTTATCAAATTTGAATTATCATACACATGGTCACCAGGTATGCCAGGAAAACCATGATGTGCGTTTAGCATGAAAAGCAGAAGCCCCTTCCTAATGAGATGTTGGTTCCCAGTACCACTGATTTTTGAGAAGCCAGGGAACCAATGGCCTTCTGAGCCACTGATGTGAGTGGTGAAACAATTCACAGAAAACTAAGATAGCCTCTTAAAGCCCAGGTCTCCCAGCTGTGCAGGAATCCATTTGTTCAACCAGTTCACATCAGCCTGCAGTCCGCATCATGACTGGCTGAACTGATAGAAGTAGCGCCATTCAAATTTCAAATTAAAAATAATCAAAACATAGAGGAAACCTGTCAGAAATGTAATGAGAGATTAAATCTGAGAAAAGCAAAAGAGAAAAAAAAATTTTGGCTGATTGGCTGAGGCGCCGACAGGCAGCTTGTAAGCCCATTAATGACTTGGCCTGCGTCCTGGGTGTTTACTGATTCACAGCTTGTTTAACTTCTTGTATATTCCCAGCCATTCCCTAAAGTGTGATATACCTCATCTACTATACAGTGGTTTAATTGCACTACAAATGAGTTTACTCAACCAATTAGAACTCCAAATACTGTTAAGATATATGCCCAAGTTTTACAAAAGCAGAGTTTCTTAGATCATTTTATTCCAGAATTCTACTACCAAGAGAATTTAGCAATTCTCAAGCCCATGTGCCCATTAAGTCAGTGAGCATACTTCTCCCTAAAGAAGGAAGATCTCCTCATCTCATGTCCAAAAGTATAAAGAACTGAAAATCAAATAGTAATAAACAAACAAAACCCACGAATGACTTCCTGCTAGGACAACACTGCTATGTAGAAAAGTTTCACTAGGGTCCTTAAAAAAATATTGCAAAAATATAACACCAGAAAGCTTTTATGAGCCACATCAGGATATATGCCATTTGACAAAATCCTGAAAACAAATTGGTGAAGCATAGAAAGATCTCACAAATATTTAAGTTCTTCACTGAGTTAATGGTGTGGAAAATATTAGAGGTGAAAAAAATAGTAGGGAGAAATATCCCTTGTGGCACAACAAAAATCGCTTTATCTCATCTGCTCTTATGTGTGATAAATGGCAATAAACGTCTCTGGGATTATTTATTGCTCTCCATATACAGATGGAATTGGGATTAATACTTAATTAAACTAGAATTCTCAGGCTGTCTAAAATGGATCAGGTTACTAATGTGCACTAATTGCCCTTCCAAACTATCACTAATTCAGAAGATCGTGTGACCATTTACCACCCCCCCCATGCCCTGGGCAGGAAATTGTGTGTCTATAAAAATGAATCAAGGAACTGGAAGAGAGAAATTCAAAGCTTCCCCCCACAAGGAAATGGTAAATGTTTAAGGAGATGGAAATGCATATGATCATTACATATGCAATGATGTATCACAGCGTACCCTAAAAATGTGTACAATTATTTGTCAATTAAAAATTTATTGTAAAAAAATAAAACCTATTTTATATGTTATCAGAGGGTACAATAATAAAGGAAAAGAAAAGTGACAAGAATTTAATGTCTACTAGGGTACTAAAATGTATTATTCGAAAGCAAATCCTGTAGCACATTTGTGTCAATCTAGAAAATACATCTCTACCTTAAAGAAACAAAAGTGGATCGGGGAAGGAGCAGCACTAATGTGATTAGACTATAGGATAGGGTTCAATTCTTAAGATCCTGGTGTACTACAAAGATGAACAGAAATGTGTTGCTCTAAATTTTCAAAGTCTTATTTAAATACTTTCCTGACACAGCTGACTATTCTTCAGATAGAAATGCAGGCTAATTCTCAAGTTAACAGTGCTATATATAAAACTGTGTATGTGTGTGTGTGTGTGTGTGTGTGTGCACGTATACATACACATACAAGAACTGGGCATTTTGAACCCAAAAGGGGAGACTGAAGGAGTGGAAACAGGAATACATAAAACTTTTATTTTATAAAATTTTTCTCTTCAGCCCTCTAAAGAATCCCTAGGTCACTTGCTATGTTTTCTGTTGGGGTAATCAATGATTCTGGCTACACATCACACTCATGAAGGAAAGAGCCGAAATCTCAAGTATTACATCTACATGTGAGAATAAATATATTAGTAGGGGGTATTAAAATACAATAGCTTCTCTTGAATTACTCACCCATAGGCTCCATTACTAATCAATTTAATTGTTTCAAAATCACTTTCTCGAGGTTTCCTTCGAAGTTTCAGGGAAGCATTAGAGCTCTGTGGAACAAAGAAGGAAGTTAAGAAAATAGTTCAGAATTTGAGAAAATTATTTTAATGGCAAAATAGATAATAACTGAATTAATGCTGTGTTTTTCAGGGGCTGAAGTGCAGTATTCTAGCTAAAGGACCTGGAACATCTCTAAAGATCAGTCTTCCCCAGAGGCACCCACCTTACAGGGGCTCAGTTGCTTTTAATCACACCCACATTTCCAAAAGAGAAAGGCACCAAGCTTTCTGAAAATTCCCCATTTTATTTTATTTATTTTCCCTCTATAAACTCTCCTCATCGTAATCTCATTCTAGTCTTAGGACATTTTGAGATTTAAGTCCAAAATACCAAACCTTCCTTCAGATTTCAGTGTGCCAGAAAAGAGGTCCCTGGGGCTGGTGGAGGACATGGTCTCTCTGACCCTCACTGGGGTGTGACCTTTTCATTGCTGTGGCAATCTTTCTTGTTTGGGAAAACTCTTAGGTGACAAACAGCACACCTAGGTGTAGAATGCCTGACTTTCTTTACCTCCATACCAGAAATCTGAGTTGGGTTAGATCCCAATGTTCTAAAATGACGGCTTTCTAAATGTTTAGCTCAAAGGAAAGGGTTAAACATGGTGCTTTTACAAAAACTCCTCTGTGCTCCATTTACCTAAGCAGGGAAAGGGTGTTACCAGCCTCTCTGCTGCTCTCTGCAGAGTCCAGAATCCACCCCGCCTCCCCGGGTTGGAAAGTACCCACGACTCTGAAGTGTGTCCATTCTTCCCAGTCACTGCTGGTTTGCTGAGGCCATCAGTCATCCCCTCATCTTGGGAGGACTTGGGCGCCCAGCCTCCCACTCTCCTCTCTGCTCCAGTTCTCTCACCATCCTGAGTGGCTTCAGTGTCTAGGCAGGTAATACAACCAACCCCTGCCCTCAGGGTTACTTAACCTCCCCAGTTCAGCCATCTCTTTTCTCTACCTCCCCCTAGTGTCTGGCCACAGGACACCACCTGCCATTGTAGAAAACAATTTGAGACTGGGACCACACCCTGTTCAACCACTCCCACTATGGCTGCTTCTTCACAGTGGTGGGCTCTATACAAGGCCACCTAGTTCCATTAACTCCTCCCCACCTAGAGAATTCCTTTATGTCCATGTTGGCTCCTAAGTCACTTGAACGTCCACCAGAAGCTCTCCCCCCCAGTGCTAGAAGATAGCAGATATCCAATTGAGGGTTTGTTGGTTCTTCTTGGATGCTATCAAGGAACTCTAATCTCAATATATTCAAAATTACATGTTATGATGATAATAAAACAACTATCATTTATTTAGTACTTACTGTGTAATACTTTCCTAACCATTTTAATGGTATATCTCATTTAATCTTTCATAATCTCTTATATCTTTTAAGATGGGAAGCTTTAAAGATGGGGAAACAGAGACACAAAGAACCTTCCAGCCCACCCCAACACACACACCTAGTAAGAGGTAGAACCAGTTTTCAAATCCAGAACCTGGGTTCTCAGACCCCAAGCTACACAGCCTGTTTCTGCTTTCCTGATCATCCCAACCTGCTTCCTCCTGTTTTCCCTGCTGGTGTTTATTATTGAGAAGAATGACACCAGCCACCAGGACTCCTGGCCACTGTAACCATCTCTTTTTTTTTTTTTTGATATTTATTTATTTTAATTGTAGTTTCACATAATACCTTTGTTTTATTTATTTATTTTTATGTGGTGCTGAGGACCGAACCCAAGGCCCTGCGTGTGCTAGGTGAGTGCTCTACCGCTGAGCCACAATCCCAGCCCCTGTACCTGTCTCTTAACAGACTTTCCCATGGTCACTGTGCTGCTCCCTACACCCCACTGCTTTCTTTGTATCAAGCCATGACTCTGATTGGGTCAGCTCCCCATTTATTCCTTCCACTTCCATGTACAAACAACACTCCTCTAAAGCTCAGTCACTTCCCATTGTTCTTAAAAACAAAACAAAATATAAACCTGACAAATGTGAGAAGTAGGGACCTGTGAGTCCAGGCTTCACCCAGGCTCTCTGGTCTCCAAGGTCTCCCTTGCTCTTAGCCCTTAGATGGAACTTGCATCCAGATTGTGTCCACTGCCCCTTATATTAATAATTGCTCACATTTCAGCTCAAGTGCCACGTCCTCAGGAAATCTCTGGAGCATTCTAAATAAAGGCAAATCTCTTTATGGTATATTCTAGTAGACATGCTCTTTTTTGTCTCTGTAGATCTTATTTTATCAGTACTATCTTTTGTGTATGATTTCTTTTTGTAAATTTCTTTTTCTCTTAGAGGGGAAAACACTAAATTATCTGCCTATTATTGGACACAGTGTCTTCCTTGTAGAAGCACAATAAATATTTTTTGAATAAAGTAATTAACACAGTCAAAATCTCTAGATGCTAACAAACAGAAAAACCAACGTATTTTGTCAAGAAAGATACTTACACCCACTGACTCATCTGTTTCTGGTGTTTCTGCTGTCCCACTATCGTAGTTCCCCAACTGAGCCATTTCTAAGTTCAAAAAAAAAGGGGTAAGAAAAATATTGCAATTAAACAAGTAAGCATAATAAGCTAAAACAAAAGAAAACACTTTCTCCATTACAAAAGAAAAAGAAAAAATATATTATAATTGTGGGAAAAGTTTTACATCCAAAACAGCAAGAAGCAACAACTGAGATTTTTGAACGTGTAGGGCTTTTCACATCCTTCCCTGAAACCCATTTCTAATGAACACCTAGACATAGGAACTATAAAGACTGGGCCTCTGCTGTAGCTGGCAGTATTCACTGGCTGATGCAATTAAGTCAGCTTGCAAAGGGTTTGGGGGTTAAAACTCTATAATCAGAGAACCAAGAGAGGTAAGTCTACACTGACTCTGAGAGGCATCTAAGGTACACTGACCGGCTAACAAGTCAGAAATGACTCAAGTTGTAGTGGGCATCCCTTCCTCCATTTCTTCACATTTACTGAGAGATATCTCACCAAATACACTAAGAATTTACAATTTTAAAATAAGAGTAAAGGTAGTGAGTGGTTAAAGGGATTTGGAGATAAAAAGACCTGGGTTTCCACCACTATTGGCACTTACCAGCCAAGTAACCTTATTTTATTTGTTTATTTTTTTTTTGTGTGTGTGTGTGTGTGTGACGGTGCTGAGGATTGAACCCAGGGCCTTAGTGCATGAGAGGCAAGCACTATACCAACTGAGCTATAACCCCAGCCCTACAAGTGACTTTTTAACGTCAGGGTTTTAACTTTCAAGGTTCTTCCCCTGAATGATGAGAACAATATTACTTATCTCTTGGCACTTTTATGACTATTATACACTACAATGCACTTAAGTCCCTTAGTATGTTGATTAACAAAAATTAAGTGCTCATTAAATGTTGAATGTTATTAATTATATTGTATAGAGTAGTTAATTCTGGGCTGAATGCCATATGCTTGACACCAGCTTAAGTAATACTCTGGTGGTCTAGTTAAAAGTGACAACTGTATCTAATTGCTCAACACACCTTGGAATGCATCCTTGCGTTTATATAAGTAAATGAGAAAACCTAATTCATTTACTGTTCATTTTTATACTTAAAAAAGAACATGAAAGAATTTTCTTCAAAAGTTTTTTCTAATTTTTCAAAACTGAATATATGTAAAATAAAAAGTTCTAGTTTTTAGCTACAGATTTTTGCATGTGTCTAAAATTACTTCTTAGTCTCTTATTTCATGTGTTGATGTTCTCATAAGTACAATTATCCTCTGTGGGCAGTGATTACTCATAGGAGATATGAAGCAAAACAATATTGAAGTGTTAGTTTTAGATAAATATTTACAAACTCCAGATTCTAAAATAATTAGATTGATACTAACATTCCTAGTTTACTTATAAGGAAATTCTAAAAATAAAAATAAGGTTAGTATAAACTACATTTTGGTATCATTCAAATAATGAAAACATCCAATGTTCTAGTATCTTAGATATAAGGACTCTGATAGGAACAGATTCCTCTTCAAGGAAAATTTAATATTGTTTCAATAAAACTATATTAGCCGTGCACACATATTAAATCATTACTATGTTAAGCAAATACAGGGATAACTCCTAACATTTTTAAAGAAACTCTTTGAGTAGGTACTCTTATATCCCATTTTTACTTTATGGAAGGAACTGAGGCACAAAGAGTTTCCTGAACTGTCCAGTGAGGGTCCTAGCCCACCTCTAAAACTCTCACTTTTTACCTTTGCAAAACACACCTTTAGGTATGTTAGTTTAAATGTTGAAAATAAAGGGAAGCAAATGTAGATTAGAGTTTGTGATCATGTACCAAAATTACCAGGAGAAGTCACACATTAAGTGTTAATAAACAGATTAAAAACTATCCTCAACCTGAATCAAGATGATGAACAAGTTTAAAAAAAAAACTCCCAGTGATAAATTTATATTCCTAAACTCCAAAGGTGTCAAAGATCATCACTACTCTTTTAAAGCTTCTATTAAGATATGTAAGTGGGCATCAGATAGTCCACATACTTAATTTCAGCTGACAGTGGTATTTCCTGTCAGATAAGAACACTGGGAAGAACTCCCTCTGTCTACAACACAAGAGCTGACGCAACCTTAACTACACCGGCGTGAAGAGTCACTATAATATGCTTTGACAGCCTCCCCCACTCCAATTATTTTCATAAAAAAACAAATTAAAAGATGGCTGTGTTTTAAATAGAATTTCTGCTAAATAACTATTATCTGGGAAATACATATTATTTGTAAGCAGTGGGTAGTAATGGAATGGAACCAAGAGTCAGCTTTTGAAGCAGGAAGCTGAGGCATCATTTTGTAATGCCTGAAGAGATTTTTAAAACTCATCTAAATACCATTAAACATCTGCCCTTTTTATTTCATTGATTTAAACCATTTCTGAAGACTCATGATTCAAAAAGGTAAAGATGGTAATTTAAAAGCCATGGGGGAAAATCTCTCCCCAGGGAACTTTTCAGAAAAGCAGCCACCAGTCTCTGATAAGTGATGAATCTGTTGTGGTATTGCTCTCAGTACAGTATAAATTTATCTGGCATTATCTCCTAGTAATGCATGCATCATTTCACTGGAAGCAAAGATACGATGGCCATAAGAGCAAACAAAGCAGGGAGAACAGGAGAGAGCAGGGCAGAGAGCAGCAGGCTCCCTGGCTTTAGACAGGAAAAGCTCTGTGCAGCATTTACCTCCATCATTTACCTCCACAAACAACTGAGAAAGACAAACGCTGTTCACAAATTCAATTTAATGAACCAGGAAGATAATTTTGAATGGAGGAGACAATGTTAATTTATGAGTCTTTTTAGGCAGTAATAACCTAAGTGTTATAAATAACAATCCCAAACAATAATGGACAAAAGGTTGGAAGGGGGCGGGGGATTACCAATATTAGATTTTTGAAAAATCACTATCAGGATGCTTGCTATTCTCTGTATTTAACAGAATTATAACCTTTTTTTTATTTGAATCAACCATAAATCCATTTACAAGCTTCAGAAAATTTTCTTTATCATTGGCTCTCTTGTATATTACTACCTTTCATACCTTCTTGAGACAAATAAACAAAAATAGACCTACCAAAACTGGATTCAATTTAAAGCAATCTACCACCAGTTGTGTTACTCCCAAATTGAATTTAAATGTCAATTTTAAATGAATGATAATTAATTTCTGTAGCGACACTTTCAAAATTAAAAGTACTTTCAAGAAGAGCTCAACTGATCTTTGCAAGAGAAAAAGGACTCAGAGAAGATTAGAATCCAAACCCTTCTGGGACAGGCTGGCATTTCTAGGCTGACAGGCCTCTAGGATATCAAGCAAGGCTAGGCCCCACTCTCTTCATAACAAAAATAGAAGCATGCTTGCTTGCTCCTCAGGACCCAACTTAAAGCTGTTTCCTTCATTTTACAACTCATCCCCCAAAGGGACTAATCAATAAACACAGCCAAAACAGAAAAAAAAATAAAGACTTGCTGTGAAATTCTTCCATGAGGTCACAGGATAAAAACAAGTAAAAGATCAACTCAACCAAGAACTCACCTTCCAGAGGATCCTTATTGAGACCCAGCTGGCTGATGATGTACCTGGGGATGTCAGTTTTGATACCCTGTCCTTCTTTTGCATGGCCTTCTGCTGCTTCTAATAGGTAATAAAATTCTTCAGGATCAAATTCCTGGCAGAAGACAAACACACAGAGATACTTCCTTGAGCCAAAATGGTCTGAGGTTTTACTATGTAAATCCCATTCACAATAAACTGCTGCACACACATGGCTGTAGGTTATTCATACAGAAAGGAGGTAAATGGCTTTTAAAACTATATAATTCTCAATTCATATCTGAAGCCTATTCAGATTCTAAGTCAATACATGTGATACTTTGGCAACCCAAAGATAGTGATAATTTCTAATTTCTTTGTAATAGAAATTTGAAGGTACTCTACTGAAGATCTAGATCTCACAAAAAAAGAATAATTCTGACCTTTTTTTTTAGCCAGGGTCTCACTATATTGGCCAGGCTGGTCTAGACTCATATGATCCTCCTGCCTCAGCCTCCTAAATAGCTAAGACCACAGGTGCCCATCACTGTGATCCTCTAGATCTGGTTTTGTATCTATATGTGTGATGCTGGGGATCAATCCCAGGGATTTAGGTCTGATTTTTATCTGTGCCTTTTTTAGCAAAGCTTTAGAACTGAGAATTTCATTCAGAAGATTCAGTTTCTTTCTCTGTACAAACACACACAAGGGAATAATGCTTAACTACATTGACTCAAAGATGGTGCAGGAGACTCCCTTAGTATAAAAATGTCCAAAAATATTAGAAGGAAAAACTTCAATGTTTTCTTTTTTATTAATTCTAAAACTTGCTAATAATAGTCATGCAATGCAAAAATTAAGGAAAAAAATAAGAAATTAAGGTGTTCAATTACCTGTCTTCTGTAATATTTTGGCAACATATTATTCTTACGTATTTTATTCCTTGGTCATCTGTTGCTTGTATATAATAAAAATCTTCCAGATCACATCACTCTAAATAAATGCCCTAGATTGATGGGTTGTAAACAATGCTGTAAATCTGCTCACCGATTAAATGCATTTTAAAGTATTTTCAGTGACATCCCCTGAAAATTTTCCCAAGATTTTTCTCATTTTGATTAATGGACAAAAAAGGGGATTTTAGAACCTTAGTCTTTCATTTGACAATTACCTAAGTTTCTAAAGGCCATATATAAATGTTTGCTGCAAATGAAGTAAAGCCAAACCAGTGTCAATGTTCAGTGCCCTGTAAAGAAACTTACAATGACTTCTGGCAAGCCTGGGAACTGCAGGCATAGAATGGCAGGCTTGGAGAAACATCCCCTAATACTCTGAAGTGTCAGTTTCATCTGAGCTCTGTACTGTACTGAAAGCAACATTTCTGAAGCCACACTAAATCCACTTATTCCTTTCTTTAAGAGGTTGTACTTTCACTTTTTCTCTTCTGATTATCAGATATTATATAAAAAATTAATTTCCTTTTTTAAGGCATGATCTGGTCTTAGCATATCTGCTCCTGTCCAGATATGCTAAGTTTTAGTAATAACTGTCATTTTTTCCCAAATATTATTGCAGATGGTGTATACTTCAAGAGCTACAACAGAAGAAGCAATAAAAAGTAAGAGTCCCTTCTATCTGTATCTGCCAATCACCAGTTCTCCTCCCCAGGAACATCATGATAGTTTTCCCCCTTTAGCCTTCTAGACATTCCATGTCAAATGGTGCATTTGATTCTGGGATCCTCAGGGTCCTGCCATTGATGAAAATCTCTACTCCTCACCTTTGTGTTTGAAATATCCCCTTGCTGTAGTTCATCAGGTACTATCATGAGTTTATGGGGCTATGATTATTTCAACATTGTAAAACACTGTGAATGTTAATTAAAATAAGGGTAAAACTAAAACACCACCATTATATATATGTTAGTGCGTGCGTGCGAGTGTGTGTGTGTGTGTGTGTGTATGTGATGCATGTGCAATGCTGAAGCTCTCTTGTACATATGGAGTTATAATTACATTAATGGCTATGAGAACTTAACAGTGAATTTTGATCCTATATTAAGAGCCCATTAAAATAATTCTTATTGTCAAAGCTTGATATTTGTCTACAGTTTTGACTGAAACCTCTATCAAAATTTCATAAAACAAAAATTTTAAAAGAGAAAATGACCACTGATCAAAATGATGTAGTTGCTAAAATGAATTAATATCTAAAAGTCTCATTCCTTCAGATCTGGATGATGCCCTACTGTATTCTTTCAAATGGTTTGCTAACTGACACATATTTCTAACATGGAACATTTTTAAAACAAATAATAATTATAGCCACGGGTCACTTCTTAGTATACCTCTCACTTGCTCCTCTTTGAATCTAGGCAACTCCAAAAGCATGAAGCACAGCAAGCATTTTAAATTAGCTGTGACATAAAGTAATTATGCTGAGATAAGATCAAGCACATTATTTCATGTTCATCCTTCAAGTTTGACCAGAATGTAATATGACTATTACTGAATACAGCACCAATCCTAGAATTCTTACTTAAAATATGAAAAGACAAGACACATAAGGATGCCATCATGAACATTCACAAGCTGTAGTTCCTCCTGACTCTTTCCATTTAACACTGGTGGTTGACATAATAAATGAAAATAGAGCTTTCTGATGGTTGCTGCTTTCCCACAGTTAACAATAAATAATGCTGTCACATCTAAAGGCAGCTTACCAGGCACTCCAATAACCGAGCAGGGCGGGCAATAACAATTAGAATTTTTCGGACTAGCTGTTTAATAAATGCCAATTCTCCACTTTCTGAACGATCATGAGCCTATGAAAAAGCAGTGAAAAGAATAATGATACAGAGTTGCTCTACTAAATGGAAAAGAAAATCAGCAAAGCATGCTAATTAGATAATTGCCAAATATTTAAAAATCACATGATTTAGAAAATACTCTTAAAAGATTGATAAATGGGCATTATCTCTATATAAATGGATGCTATTAAACATCTACATCTAGAAAATAGCTCTACTAACTAAACTTTAATTGCAAAACTTTGATTTATTATCTCTGTTGAAAATCAAACATAAGGACTGTTAATGTGAACCATGAATGAAGGAGACATTAAAAGTTTATGACACATTAAGTACATGGTACCAGTATAGGCAGCTCATCAAGAACCTGCATTTTCCAGATGTAACATCTTAGATGTATGAAATGACTAACAGGGATGGAATGTTTTGTTATCCCGAGCATTTAACATGTTCATGAAATACAGTTCACATACAAAACATGATTAACTAGCAAATTACTTATTTCATCACATGTAAAAAATGTGCAATGTTTATTTCAAATGTTAGCTGAATATATAATATAAATTCAGTCTCACACATTGAATATGTAAGCACTGAACTATACAAGTAAAATTTAACTGACCCAAAAACTTTTGAAATTTTATTTTATATGTTGCCTAAGCACAATACATACTTTGAGAGCAAAGCTCAGTATGTTAGTAGTCACTGAAACTTTCAATGATATTGCCTTGAAGAAATGTGGTTATGTGTCTCTATCAAAGCTGGCACAGAACAAAAATTTTAGAAGTTGTAAATGTAAATATGCATACTCATTTTAGATTCTCTGAATTTTTAAATTTATATGATTTACTTTCCTCTAAGGATTTAAAAAAAAAGTATCAAGGCGATGCTGGTACAATTCCACAAACACAGTAATAAGCTATTAAAATCATTCATGAAGCTGGGGATGGTGGCATACACCTAGAATGCCAACTACATGGGAGGCTGAGGAAGGAGGATCATAAATTCTGCCAACTTGAGTAACTTAGTGAGACCCACTCTCAAAATAAAATAAAAAGGGTTTGGGGTACAGCTCAGTGGTACAGTGCCTGCTCTACATGCACAAAGCCCAGGGTTCAAACCTCAGTTCCATTTTTAAAAAAAGCACATTCATAAACGTGCTTTATCATGACAAGGCCCAATCCCTGATGCCACCCCCCTCCAAGAGCTGGCAGACAAATTTATGAAAAATGACTGTATGTGTCTGTTGAATTTAAACCATCAAATCAAAGGCCATGGTCCAAAATAAAAGAAAGCATATATAAGTAAAAGGACACAGCTAACATTTAAAATTTTTAAATATAAGAAAAATGAGAATGGATTAATAATCATAGAACAAAAAGTATCTATTATACTTAAACACAGAGATATATACATGTCAAATATTGAAAAATATCTTTAAAAATTTTTTTCCAATATGCATTTTGCAATGAAAATAGATTTTAGAAAATACAATGAATGCACAGAAATGTGGTTATGTGTGTTTTTTATAGTTTATCCTTAATTAAACAAAAACCCCTAAAGTAAAAAACAAAACCAAACAAAAAAATCACTGACTTCCTGGTGAGAATTTGGGTTGACCACTGAAGTTTCTCTCTACTATAATATTGTTTTATTAATCCAGGAATATAAAAAACGTCTAAAAAGCCTGAATACATTTTGGTGTGTTTTTCTCCCCAAGGGAAATGAGAATTTTATATGTGAAAAAGCTTAAAAATACTCATTCAGATTACATAAATTCCATTTCAAAAAATTATAAAAACAATCATTCCAATTTCTTACTTCTAACAATTATCAGTCACATCCAAGGCCCAAAATATGAGTTATATTAGCTCAAATAATATTTTACCCATATCATTAGTGGGGGATAGAGGAGGAAGAACTTTGTTAAAACATCAAATGAAATAATAAAATTAACCTGACAAGGGAAACTGTTTCCTGGCTTGCTGAGGCCAAAGGGGGTACTAATGGACACCCGTGGTCAATATATATTACCTGTTGGCGACTGTAAAAAACACTATGACCCAGATTCGAGAGTAAGTTAGAGTTTCCTGTGTATTTTCTTTGAGTAAACACACCTTGGTGAAAAGGAGACCTGAGAGACAGGAAAGCATGCATCTGAATTGACCTAGACTTCAGGACTTTCAAAGGCATCAGTTAAATCAAGCAGTTCAAACCATAGGGGAGCCTTGCCTTGGGTTATGCAAAGGACAGACAACTGGAAAGAAGGTGGGGAGAGAGGCTTGGTGGGGAGAGAGGCTTGCTAGCAGAGGGTTGGAGCTGGGAACTGACAACTGTATCCAGAAGAAACCAAATCAAGTTCCCATAACCAGGCTCCAGCTAGAAGGGGACAGTTCTTCTGTGACAGATTAGCTATAAACTCCCAAAGGCCACTATACATGTGACTCTGAAGATAGATTTAAGTTTTACAAAAATACTGAAAGAAACTCTCAATGAAGATGAAAAAGAAAACATTTTTACCCCTACCTAACAATGACCTTTGTGACCCAAGTATAATGCTTCTCAGCCAGAAGAGAAATTTCTCTAAAACTCAACAATTTTCATCTCTCATACAGCCCATGATTTTTGAAATTTTTAAGATTTATTTTTAATTGCCATGAAGCAATCTGCCAAGTCTGTCATACAGAAATGAAAGAAGGGGATTATAATATAAATAGCTATGGATAGCAAGTCTCTACCCCTTTCAGGAAGTGCCTACAAAGGAATAAAAAACAGAACTACACTGGTGATTATGATAATATCCTGGGACAGAATGGCAGAATCCAGGATGGAAAACCTCACAGAGCCTGACTGCAGAGCTTCTCTCAGGTCTGCCTTGTCTGTTCAAAAGTACACCATTTCACAAACATAGTTTCCAAGGTATTCACATATACAGTAATAAGCATAGTGTTGCCAGCATTTCCAAGAAGCTGATTTAATTAAAAGGAATATAAAAATTAGATTATTTGATGCTCCATAATCATAGATCAAATGTTTGGCATGCCATATGTATTTTCTTCCTTCTTCTCTCTCTTCCAGCTTACTAAGGATGAATAAATACCAGCCATGCACCAGGGAGTTAGAGATGACCCCTCTTCCTCAAAGAGCCCGCTGTGTGCTAGTAAAGCGAGACCCCCTGATAATCATTATAGCGCACTGTATGCACCCAGGGGGACACAAGCAGTAGGCCATATTATGGTTTTTACCTGTAGATAGAATAGAACACTGGGGAGTGTTAGACCAATGTCCTTGCAGCTGCACAGAAGGGTGGCGGATCTAAGGGTTAGGCCTGGAGGAAAGCAGATCATTGGGGATGAGGGTCCAAGTCAGGAAGTGAGAGGAGAACAGGAGGGGAAAGTTGGAGAATATTTAAGAAGAAAACTATGAGAGTCCAGTGGCTGCATCATGTAGGGAAAGAGACAGTCTAGTAGGACTCGGAGTCCTAGCATGTGACTGAGAAGATGGTGGTGTCAATAATGGAGGCAAAGAATAAAGAAGCAGGTTTCGTTGAGGAAATGCTGAGTCCAGCTGCAGACAGAGTGGGTTGCCCACTGCTACTCTGCAGGGCTCTCCAAGTGGGAAGACATTGAGTAGGCAGACATACAAATCTGAAATGTCAGAGAACACTGCTGGCCTGAGATATGGACTGGAAACCACTGGAGTCCATATGTCTTTCATTAAAGATAGTCAACAATATCTCCAGAAGAGAGAGCAGAAGGAGTGGAACCAGGATGAAACTGTGGGCAAACTAATTTGTAGAAAAATATGAGTTGGAAGAGGCCACGAAGAAGTGGTCAGAGAGGTACCAAGAATAAAAGAATATGTTAAAGGGATAAAGAGGGAAAAGAGTTTGAATACTGCAGAATAGACTGGTTCCAGTAAAATAGCTAGGGGCTCTACCAGCCTCTGGTGGGTGAGAGGACACCACTCATGCAACTAATATTTGGGTCCTTCTATGTGTTACATACCATCCTACCTGGATAAAGCATGTAAGATCCTTGCCCAGAGTCTTTATATTCCAGCAGAGTGCTACTCAAAGTGTGTCTGCAGACTGGTGCCAGTCAATGAACCGTTATTAGTGTGTGATGAGCTAAGCCAACTGTTGAGAATAAGAATTTAGCAACTCTTAAAGCAAGTTTACATGGCCATGTCACCCAAGGGCATGACCATTTTCCTGTAAATTCACTTTCATTTTAGTTTATGGGAGAATTGGTCCACGGTAAATTGGAAATTGACAATAAAAATCAAAAACAATATTTTCACCCCCAAAGATAGTTTAAGAGGCACTGCTCTAGTAGACTGCAACAGGTTGAAATGTGAACAATGGCAAAAGAGCAGAGAAAACTCTTCTGTGAGTTTGGATGAGAAAGGGAAGAAAAATAGTGGCTTCTAGCCAGAGAAGAATAGTCTTATCTTGCCAGAACTAAATTCTGTGGGGCAAGGACAGATGGATTTCTCAAAACTTGGGATGCTGGTATTTTACTTCATTTTTGTGTGAATATTTATATATTCATGCTTAGAGAAAACCACCTATGCTTGTATTTACATGGGCATAATTTATGTCCTATGAGATAGAGAAATACTATAAATCTAAATATATAGGCTAAATAGGTTTCACTTGTAGGCTGTGGCTGATCAATTTCAGTCAGAAGAGCAATATTATGCAGTAATTCCTTTCCACCACAAACATTCCTTTCCTGTCCTGGGTGTTATCAGGAGCTAGGCATGCAAGTGCTAGGCAGAGACAGTTCCTGCTTTTATCTGTCATTTTGGAAATTGGATATTTTGTTAGAAGAAGAACTGACACTAATGAAAATATAAGTTACCATTTACTACCCAACACCACATGTAGGTTAATTAATAGGACTCATAGCCTGGAAGGAGCCAGCAATTTTCCATTTAGCTTTTTCAGATATTAGAATTAGATAGCACACCATCAAATAACACACATATGCTCAGGCAATTTCTAACTTTATGGGTAAGAGGTGGGGGAATCACTGCTTCAAAATCCTTCAAAATCCACTTATCCCAGAGTCATAGATTGTTGAGTCCCAAGGTTCCTGTAAAGGTTATTACATTAACTTTCTATTACTCTACATAATGACCAGAATCAACTTATAGCAAGTAGCAATCAGGTTGGTTTTTTCTCTCTTCTTTATTTCCCTAGAATGTGAACGCCATCTCATAGTTACCACTTGTAAGCAAACGGTATGGTAAAATATCTTTTTTCTAGGGGAAATGCAAAACAAATCAGAAAACTTTATATGCATGGTGCATGGATCTTACCTCCTGTAGCAACTTATCTAATTTGTGTTGCAATTCAAGGAAGTATCGTGAGGTGATGAGACCCTGGTGGGATTTATCCAAACAATCTCGAGCCAGTTCAATAATCTGATGGTGAGTGAAACTAAGCACTCCATCTGCTAGGGGAAGAACGTTGTCAGGGGAGTAGCTGGTGATAATTTCCTTTAGACGTTCTTCCATCTGAGCTGTAGCCTGTTCAGAGAAGACACACATGCACACACAGGTGTAACATATGGAGACACACATGTAAACAATTCAGCCATCATGCTTCCTTAGCATTTTCAGAGATCTGTGCAAGATGTTAAACAGAATTCTAAAATGTAAATGTAAAAGAAACCTGAATTCTGGCCTGGGGGTTTAATAATTCTGTGGCAGAATGCTTGCCTAGCCCGTGAGAGGCCCTGAATTTGATCCCCATACTGGAGGGGAAAAAAAGTAGAAGCCTCACTTTTGCATGATATAATAATGGCACACATATGCCATTATACATCTGTCCAAACCCACTGACTGCACACCACCAAGTGTTGTGATGTAAATGTGGACTCTAGTGGGGCATATTGATAATGGGGGAGGCTAGGCGTGTCGGGGGCAGGGTGAGTAAGGAAAATCTCTGTACCTTGCACTTAACTTAATTTTGCTATGAAGCTAAACCTGATGTAGAAGATAAAGAGGAGGGAGAGAAGGAGTAGGAAGGGGCCACCCCATCTCATCATTTGGAATAAAGATAATAAGGATTCAAGGTATTTAAGTGAAAATGTATATTTCAGAATTGCCAATCCCTCTTTTTCCATATCCCATCAAATATAAAATGATCCACATAAGATTCTTTTTTTTAAAAAAACAAATTTTATTTGTTGATAGCTCTTTATTTATTTATTTATTTATACATGGTTCTAAGAATCGAACCCAGTGCCTCACACATACCAGGCAAGTGGACTACCACTGAGCCACAGCCCCAGCCCCCAAAATAAGATTCTTAAAATAACTCCAATGATATCTGGAATTGTTGTGCTTTCATGTTAGATCTTGAGCTTTTGGGGATAGACTGTCAAAAATATCAAATATTTCTTCTCTTGTTACTTACTCAAAACTCAGGACTGCTGCTTCAGTTCCACAGCATGAGCCCAGAATTTGTTTTCTTGGCTAGATTTCAATAAACAAGGAGCAAGCATCTTGTATCATCTTTATCCTTCCCTCAAAAAGCTACATCTTGTGCAAAATGCCAAGGGAATTCCTTTGGTAAAATAAAGCTAAAATTTTCTTTCCAACTTTCATTTCCTTCTCTGTGATCACCTGCTGCCTGATCAATATTCCTGGGTAGCATGAATTATATATGAAGGGAGATTCCCTTTCCTCCTTTCTCCTGCTTTCCTCTAAGGTTTGAACATGCATTAACTAGCCATGGTAAGTATCTGTCTCCCTAGTGAGCAAGGGACATGTGATAAATAGCTAAAACAGCTTCAATCAATGACATCAATATAGGGTTCATTACAAATAATAAGTACTCTATTCCTGATTTATGAAACCAAATATTTCCCTTTGTTCTTATGCCTGGGTCAACAAAAGGGTGGGGTGAGGTACCAGAATGATATGGAGAGGTTGCCTTCTCCCAAATGTGCAGAAATACTTTGGTGGATAAGACACAGAGGTGAGGCAAAGTGACAGGAGACCATAGGAGAGCAGCTCCTTGCAGGCAAGGGGTTTGGCTACAGTCCTTGGACAAACTGTACTCTGGCTCCATCAAATTCCTTTTATCAGCCTAACTGAGGAACACTGCAACTGTAACTTCCTTTCTTTAGCAATGGAATTAGAAATATCACAGCTAAAGAGATGGGAAGTCGCAGAAAAGGAAAATAAGGTTTAAAAAGAATAACAACTTTGATGACACACCAATCTATAGCTTCAGAGGGAGAAAATGGGTCTCTACTTGACAACACAGTAGCAGGTCCAGAACACAGGTACAAGGAGTACAAAGGGCGGAGGGGCTTTTGAAAAGCAGACCCTCCCTGCACCAGGCCCACCTAGGCATGGGGCACAAGCCGAGCATTCACTTTAAAGCCAGTTCAGAGCACCCACAGAGTGGAGAGTCCTTAGCAGTTGTTAGCTTAATGTTTTTTGTTGTTATTGTTTTTTTAAAATTTTTCCCTTTTTAAGAAAGCTGCAGTGCTATTTAATGCAAATCATTACTGGATAGGACCCTTACTTCCTATGACAAAATCACCTTACAGATGCTCAACCCATGTTGCCTGTTCATTTAGATGCTACACATCTTACATTCAATTCATTACCTTTGGGAACCTTTCTTTGTAGACATGGTTCATCATAATTATTTCATGGTCACAGCAGGCGGGGGAACGTCCAGGGCTGCAAGCAAAGCAAATTATCCTTTTAAACCTGCCACAGCATGAAATGAAAATAAGCTTTTTATTTATAAACAGTGAGTTGCATCAAAAGTACAATGCAACCTTTACATGGAAAGTTTGCTGTATTAGGTAATAAACCAATAAAATCAGTCATTAGTACATGTGGACACTTACATACCCACAAACACAGAGGCATTGTGAAAAGGACTCAAAAAGCAGGCTCAAAAAATAAAATGCCATAAAAAACATTATCATATGATACCAGTTCAGAAAACATTCTTAAACTGAGACTATATTCTACATGTAGTATGAGTTTATGTAGTTGCAGAAACCTATTAATGAATTGTACTATCATGCAAAATAGGGCAGCCATGAGCAGCAGCATCTAGGACATGTTTAACAGTGTAATTTCACACTTTTATCATACACCTGCGCTCGGCCACATACCACTGGAGAGGGCTGAGAGTTCTCCATGGCACAGGTGTCGTAAGTGAAATCCATTTTCTAGCCTAGCAAATATGTATTTGGGATGCTGAGGTAGGCATTATATACACTAAGAAACAGAGGCATACAACTGTTGTTTTCCCCTGTATTTTAGTAGTCCATTTGTGACCTTCCTGGTGTAGAACGTTAGGGTATTTACATTTGGGGGTAGGTACAACTTGTACAAGATATGCCAGGAATTTAATAAAAGAAAACAAAACAAAATGGCAGTAAAACACAGTGTCCCTTAGATGGACTGGTACAACTTATCTTTTATTTTGTATCTCAGAATATTCTAAAATATCCCCACAATTATCAATGTGGCTATACTTGGTGAACACCTGACTTTCTTTATATTACATCCTTACTATGTCAACGTATACCAGTTTCACAGAGTCAAGATCTGTTGTCACTGGGCAATAAGATGGGCAATTGGATGACTCCCTTCTAAGAAGGACTTGCTGCCAAGGCAGCTGGAGTGCTGTAAGGGGAAATGCTGACCTGTTAGACCCTTCCAGGATGGCCCAGCTGCAAGGAGTCATCTGGCTAAAGCAAAGTTCTTCTTAGAGTGCCATATCCTTCCCAGGGTGTTTCAATAACAAACCAATGACTGTGGCCATCTGGCCCCAGGGACAACTCCCTGTGAGTTCCTCAGGGGTACTTGGGTCTATATTATAGCTGAACTGCCTCTGCCCAGTCCCACTTTCTCCTTTCCCTTCCAAAAGTGTTGGTTCCCAAAAGGATCCCTAATGAACATTCTGGACAGGAATCTGTACTTTAGAATCTGCTTCCTGAAGAAACAGACTGTGATATACACTATTAGAAACAAGGTTATTAAAAAAATTAAAAAAAAAACTGTCCCTACCCAATGTATAGTAGATTACATTTGACATCCACAAAATTCAGGAGACACAAACTGCTGAAATTTTGTTCAGAGTCCTGGAGAAGGTAAGACTTATGCTGTGACCAATGAATCAAAAGATTAGGGTGGGCTTTTATAATATGGAATCTGGAAAAAAATATCCTCCTTCCTTTTTGGCCAACCTTCTTCCTCTTCATTTAATATTAACTGCTCTTGGAGCTGTGATAGATTGCCTTAAAATTTCTAATGGCTACAAGTTTCTATAGGTAGCCCCCTAAGGCCATCACCGTTACCATTAAAGTAGTAATTAGCAAATTATGAAAATTTAGAAGAAACAAGACAGTGCCACAGAATAATTAACAATGTCATCTTTTATATGGAAAAGTCACACTCTGTTTATGATAATTCACAGATTAGTTAACTCATATGAATTAAAAAATGAAAGGTTTTCACTCAAAATGGCTGAAAACACATACTCCAGGACATAAATTTGTGGTCGGGCCCACACACACCTGAGACTCCGGGAACGGGGGCGCATGGGTGTGTTCCTGCATCTGTTCTCAGTGGCAATGCTTTCAGTGGTACAAAAATGTTTCGATAAGAAGTGTAATTCATCTGGCGTTGGTTGGTATGGTAACTGATGCAACTTCTCCTGGGAGGAGCAGGATGACTGAAACAAACCAAAATAAAGTTATAAGACTGTCTCTAAAACAAAGCACCAAACCTGGGTGATACCCACATTTTATATTGCTTCCTTTTTGTGTTATAATTACAAGGACGGCCTAATTATATTTCTGACCATTTTCTCTGAGGGGTCAGTTTACCTTCTATATCTCATTTGTCTATAAGGACAGTTTCCCAAAAGATAATTTCTTCTCTGGATAAAACCAGGCTCAGACAATAAAAAGAACCCAGGTAAAGCCAAAGGGAAAAAGCAGAGGTGGAGTGCAATTTGAGTGCTGGGTGCGTTGTATCACAGATTAGTTCCTACCTGAGTATGGTAGCCTCACTTATACTGTTCTCATGATTAAACACTGTGATTTTAGGTAAATAACAAATGATATGATGTGAGATCAGGAATAACATGGTGAAATCTCTATTAAGAATGCATGTTGCTGGGTGTGGTGGCACACACCTGTAATCCCAGAGGCAAGGGAGGCTGAGGTAGGAGGAATTCGAGTTCAGAGCCAGCCTCAGCAATTTAGTGAGGCCCTGGGCAACTCAGCAAGACCCAGTCTCTAAATAAAACACAAAAAGGGCTAAGGATGTTGCTCAGTGGTTAAGTATCCCTGGGTTCAATCTCCAGTACCTACCCCCACAAAAAGAATGCATGCTGTCCTTTGATGCCACTACCATCAATATGTGTCATGGGTAAAACAGAAAGGTTAAAGAAGCTTTCTCAGTAAGATCATACTTTTAAATTTTGTAATTGCCCCCCTCCCCCCCACTGAGGCTATCACTTTTTTTTTTTTTTTAATGTTCCTAGGGATTTGAATTCAGAGCTTCACATACATACCAGTGAAGTGCTCTACCACTGAGCTACATACCCAGCCTTTTAAAAAATTTTTGATACAAGGGCTTACTAAGTTGCCCAGGTTGGTCTCAACCTTGTGATCCTGCCTCAGCCTCCCGAGTAGCTGGGACTACAGGCATGCACCACTGTACCTGGCTGTTTCGCTTTTTGAAAGTATTCAACACCTAGAACACGGTATGGTAGAAAAGATGAACAGCTAAATAGCACCACTTTAAATCAATCTGGGATATACAGCTATAAAGCAGTTTGAAAGTTTTAGTGAGAGGTAAACTCTTAGCATTCTTAATACAAGAGATCGAGAAATTGTTAAGTGGAAACATGGTTTAAGATAAGCATATTTTGAAAGACGCCACTCATTTGAAAATGTCAGTTTTAGAAGGCTTTATTTAAAAAAAAACCAAACCTGTCTGTACATTAAGAGCACCTTTGTAAATACCAACGCACTGCAATGCAGTAACACTAGGAAATAACAGCTAGAGACTAAAAATATCCAAATACCTTGAAATTATAAAATGCCTTACTAAGAACAGACTGAGACAAAGAGGCACTTTTGTAGTGTAATGAGATTATTTTATAAACCATAAAAATGAGAACACTACTAGAAAGACTTAGAAGATAAACACAAAGCTTTATTCAGAATAAATAGGTACAGCTTTAAATATGTTCATTATGAAAAAAAGAAAACACATGACCTTAGTCAATTCAAGAATTCAGGAAAATAATAAAAAAATCAATTCAGGCAGGAGAGAGGTGGTGGTAGTAACAATAAAGACAATGAACTTAGCAAATGGAACAAGAGATTTAAGAATCTATACATAGTGCTGGGGATGCAACTCAGTGGTAGAACACCTGCCTAGAATATGTGAAACCCCAGGTTCAACACTCAGAAAAATTATACATATGTCTCAGATAAATCAATGTCTACATTCCTGTATCTCAAGACTGAAAAACCCAAAAGTTTGTTCATAAGTTTAAAGAAATCACTTTGGATGGCAAAGTATCAATTCAAATGTAAGCTATTTAAAATATCTATTTAATCCACTGAGTGTGAATGTTGATTCAAGTTGCTGTAGAAATAGTAATGGATTCTATCCTAAGCCGCTGGCCCAATTGCTATTGGGCTACTATGTAAAGAACAAGAGATCACATTACTTATCTAAAAATAAAAATTAATAAGGTTAATCTTCCAAACCACAGCAGGTTCAAGAATTTCACACAAATCACCAAGAACAATACAAATGGACTACAGAGAGGGGTCTTCTGTGGAGGAAGGAAGGAGAGAGAATAGGGAGGGAGAGGCTTTGGTGATATCTTTAACATTTATTAAATAAAATAAACATATGTCTTTTAAAACAGCTGTAGCAAATGTAACAAAATGGTAACAGCTATTAAACATTAGAATTTTAAAAATAATTTTATCATATAACTTACATAACCTCTTAAGCAATGTGGCCCATGTTTAGTGACAGAGAACATGATAAACTGGTGATGTAAAGCTACAGGGGCTGTCCTAACCTAGTACTGGAGAACTAGGGAAGTGGGAAGCTTCTCTGGGGAGAGTTCTTTTCATCTCGGCTGGAATGAGCAAGGTGTAACTGGACTTAGGGCCAAACCAAAAGGATGGTCCCAGGGCAATGAGGACAATAGCAGCATAGTGAAATGGCCTGGAGGGGTGAATAAAAAGGTATTAAATGGGGCCCCCAAAGTGAGTTTTGTTGGACAAACATAAGTATATGTTCAGTTTCAGCAGAAATGAGAGACTCAGAGGAGAACTTCAAAGCCAGAGAAGAGAGTTCCCAGGGCAACAGAAGGATTCAAATGCAGTCTCCACTGTCCATGGGCCTCACAGACTTTATCTATCTATCTATCTATCTATCTATCTATCTATCTATCTATCTATCTATCTTTTTGAGACAGGGTCTATTCATGGTACTCGGGCTGGGTTCAAAGGATCCTCCTGTCTCAGGCTCCCAAGTTGCTGGAACTACAAGAATGTTCCACCAGAGGTTGCTCTCAAATGCTTATTGAAAAAGTTCTTCTCTGTTAGTCAAAACAGTGTTGAGATACCACTTTTAGAAGAGTTTCAAGAATTAGTTTGGGAATTTTCCAATAAATTAAGTCTCATTTTTTCATATTCCTCTCAATGTGGTATCACTGAGTCTTGTTCTCCAACTAATTTGCATATGATTTTGACTAAGGAATAAATCATATCCCTTTTCAAAGAATGAAGATGTACACAAAAAAAACTCTGCCAGTTTTCAAGGCAATGAGAGTTCCAAATACATGTTCTGAGTAATGATATAATTTCAAATAAGCATTTACTCTCTCAAGATAACCATTCTGCAAAGGATAGTATGCATATGCATGCCTAAGTTTCTACTTGTTATTTATTAAAAGCAATATAATTTTACAGTCATACCTCATATTTATGAGTGTTTATATTCTTATTTCCACTCTTTCTCTCAGCAGAAAATAATTTATCTAGTGGGAAATATATGAAGGAATGTCTTCTAACTACTGCAATTCCACATTACTTACTTCAAAATTAAAATTATGATCTGAATATTATCTTGGAAAAGTTCCACAAATTAATTCTAACTGCAAAATTTGATGCTAAGAGAGTTTCAATACTAAATAGTCTCTGGAAAGACTGATTGACTTCATATGACCAAATCTTTACAATTTCAGAATATAGCATTTTTAACATGTGGGCAATTTTACAGTTTTCATCATACCCAAAGGATAATGATATAATAATGTTTACATTTCAGCATAAGCAGTTTTGGAGTTCAGCTAACAATGCAATTATCTGTAAAATTTAAACTGTATTTTCAGAAGGCTTATAATTTTATCTGTATATATTCTATAGTTTTATTTAAAAATAAGTGAAGTGTATTTTTGATTGGCTAAATGACTAATAGTTAATGAGACATCTAAGAGTGATGCACATTAGAGTTAGGAAAGAAGATACTGTAACTACTAGGCAGTTTTACACAAATTTTGCTCTAATATTTAAAGGACAGGACCACAGATAAAATGAAGAAGAGAGAAAGTTGGCTTTTCTAGTTTTTGCTCATCCCTTTTATCAACAACCAATAAGGAGAAAAGAGAGCTGTGCTTTTATGCAACGGCACCTCCAGTCCACAGATTAAACTGCTCCTTCAGATTTTTGGCAAAAGAACATCTTGGAAGCTAAATTTTCATTTTGACAGAAAACAGAGGAATGTTGATATCAACAACCACATATCACCTTCTTCAATAAGAGAAATGCTAGAGAGAGAAAGTGTTTAAAACAGAGTAGGTGTGTTTGGCTAAAAACCATCCCAGGTAACTTCTTCTTTATAGAAGTTAGGGACAGCAGTGGCTCCATTATGATTGATGGTCACGTTAAACTTTATTTATTTATTTATTTATTTTTTAAATTTTTTGATGGCCATGTTAAACTTTCTAATTACAAAGTTTGTTTTAAGAAATGTCATATAAATGTCTTAGAAATAGCTAAAAGATAAGGTTTAGACCACTTGTTGTATTCATATTGGTAAGTGTGGGGTTGATAAACAGCCCCTTGAGTTTCTGATCCATAAAATGAGAAAGACGGAAGCAACTACATCACAGCTATTGTTGCCAGGACTCAATGAACCCCAGCACTTTAGAAATTAGACTAGTTCTACATCATAATATGTACTTTTAAAGATGTTATTTTAAAAATTATTCATATGCAGTGTAGTCCAAATTCCACATAACTTACCCCTTTACAGATTCTGTTTTGTTTTGTTTTGTTTTTTAATGGTGTACTATATACTAGAGATGGAAAGGAGAGGTCCTGCATGCTATTTTTCTTGCAAAAGAGATTTCTGCATCCAAACTATAATAAACTCCACTAAAGGCACTGCAAGCTGATAGGGCTGAAATAAAAGAATTTGAAGTCGGGAAACATGAGTTTAAATTTTGAGTCTAGGGAGAATTAAATGAGAATAAGTACAAGAAAGCCACAGAACAGAAAGTCAAGCATCTATTTATTCATGTTTGGCTCTAAATAAAGATACCCAAAGATCTTGGAAAGTATGGCACTTAGAACTTAAAAAAAAAAAAAAAATACTTTTTTTTCCCTGTCAATTGATTTCAGCATTTGTTTTCACATTGTGGTTTTCTATATTTTCAATGTGGAGCTGTGAGCAGTTACTGTCATAAAGACCAATGATGACTCCACTATTAGTGACAATTTTATTTGGTGATGCCATTCAATATTTTTACAGATGTGAGACTGATGAGCCACTGGAACTTCTCAAGATGGTTAGGATGTTTCTCAAAAATAATCTCAAAGGACAATAAATTCATATACTACAACAAAGGAAATAATATTTGGAAAATAAATGACCTCTCTTCGATAAAACACTATAAGAGAAAGTATTTAGTAATTCAGCAGATTTTAGCAGTTCAGTTTTAAAGGTGCTCTGGAAGGGGCTGGGGTTGTGGCTCAGTGTTAGAGCACTTGCCTAGCATGTGTGAGGCACTGGGTTCGATCCTCAGCCCACATCAAAATAAATACATAAAATAAAGGTATTGTGTCCATCTACAACTAAAAAAAAAAAATAAAGAAAGAAAGAAAAACAAAAATAGGTGATCCAGAAAACCCACATTTTATTACACCCAGGGTTCTGGAAAACGCACAAGATTAAGGCAGTGGATATACCAATTAACATTTATCAATTTAACTGCAGTTTCTTGTCAATTCAAGCATTATTAAGTGCTTGAATCTATGTGCTTAGCACAGTGCTTTGGGCTGCAGCAAACACAATAGATGGATATCCCTAAATAGGAAACTACAGATTTTGACAAAATGAGGAAGGAAATGCATCCAAAAGGGCTCTACAGTCACTGCTCCATATTCCTGGCTGGTACCTCAGACCTCCTGGGCCTTTCTAAATGACCACCTGGTTTCTAAAGCCCTGTGGATACAGATACCCAACAATGCCACTCATTTGAACTATAAACCCATGTTATCTAATCTATTGAGTTGTGTCCAGTAATTGATAGGCCTCTTGTTGAAAATCTTACTAGTTTGGGGCAAGAACTTCCTTTTCCTCTATCCTTTTTGCATAATTTCATCTTGCCTTTTTATTTAATGTCCTTTTCATCTTTCCTTAAAAGTCCTTTCCTAGTTAAAAAAAAGAAAAAAGAAAGAAAGAAAGAAAAAGAAAGGGAAGCAAAAGCAAAAAGTCCTTACCTAGAAGGCACCTACGAATTTACAGCTTGCTTTTTGTTGTTATTGTTTTTAGGAGAAAACAAAACAAACTTCTACCTAAAACATACAAGAAAAAAGACCAAGCCTATCCAAGTTTAATGGCACTTTCAGTATTAATATCACTGGCATGGAACCAAAGCAATAACATCAAATTGTGTTTTCCCCCGCCAAACTATACCAAGTGGTATTAAAGTCAAAGTTCCCAATCTCCTCCAAACTTGTGATCCTGGATCTTACACAATTTATGTGCAACTGTTTAGAAGCTTGCAGCAAAAGATGGTCCTTTCTGTGTCTGTCAGGCTGTCATTGGATGCGGAACCTATTCACAGTAGGAGACATGTGGAATTTATCTCCTCTTTCCTACCAGGAAACACCCGGAGAAAACATTGCCCACTCATTAGCTCTGCAGTTGTGAGGGAGAAGGGAGAAAAAAGCAGGCACTTACAGAGACAGTAGAACTGGGTGTGTTTGTCCCATAGCCAGAGGAGGGGAGGGAAGCCAAGGACCAGCGGCGTCCATCAGACCTATGGAGAAAGGGAAGGTCAGCTCAGGCCAGCACTGGAGGACTGCTACATGGCAACCCCAGGGAAACCAAGAATTTTTAGTCAAATGAATGACACAAACATAATCTGTGAGGATGTGGAAATGCTCAACCACGGTCAGGGTAAACAAACATTATACAGCACGTTGAATTTTATTTAAATGGAATCAATACACCCAAACAAGTAGAAAGTGAATGGGTTGATCCATAGTATTGATCTCTCACTAATACACTTTGACAAAATGAATACCAGGGATAATTACAATGATCAGACTCAGCAAATTCAAATGAATACAAACAGAAGCCGGGAGGAAAGGCACTCTCATTTGGGAACTAAAATCCAGGCCTGCAATCTTTGCAAGAGCCTGAATTCCACCATGGAACCAGAGCCTGTGGGGAAGTTCAGGACTTCCCTAGCACTTTCCACTTTGTATTTTTAAGGGAACATTTTCTACTCATCACACCTAGGGAAGCGGGGAGCAGTAGGCTCAGAGCTGGCTCAACCTTCAAGGGGCAAATAACTTCACCACTAAGCAATTGACTGCCTTTGAGCTCAGAACCTCTGTAGGGTTAATGCCCAGTGATTGAAACTGACTTGGCTTCACCAAGTGTCCTCCCATTGCAGTTTCTGAGCATGCAGCCTAGCTATGGCCAGTGAAGGGGGCAGGAAAAAAAAAATTCTGCCCTAGTAACAGAGCCAAATGCAAAGAATAAAGTCATCTGCTTTAGTTTTAGAGGTAAAGCTGTCAGGAACCTTGATGAGAGTAGTTTTTATCTTCAAATGGTAGTAGGACAGTGGCTTCTGAGGTGGACTAGAGTTATGAATTAGAGTCACTTATACAAGGGTCTAAGATGAATTCATGCAGTGGTATAGCTACTACCACTGACAGGGCAAGGTAACACCAGAAAGCAAATTTTCTGAAATCTTTGCCATTCTGGAACTATTAGCAATTTTATTATCAATTTCAAGTAAGACTGTACCCCTCAAATTATAAAATATTGCGGAAACAAATACATGCAAATTTGCACAGGGGAAAAATAGAAAAAACACATTTTATAAAGAGGGTTATTGTATTCTTAGATGCTGTAGCAAATGTAGATTTTTAAAAAAATAATCCAAGACTATATTAATTTACTAAAGGAATGAAAAGAATAGGTTAAATCTACCAGAGACATATTCCCAATAAGTTTAAATCAGGGAATTCAACAGCATTAGACTTTGAGAAACCACAATTAGATGTTTATATAAAAAGCTGACCTTTTAGCCTGGTATTCAAAGGAAATATTATCATAGTAACGAATGTTACTGAAATAAAGGCAAATGGTCCACAAAGACAAAATGGAGAAAATCAAGTGGACAAATCACAAACTACTACAACGTTAAGATTTCGGTGAAATTTACCTGTCATTTCTGTGACCGTGATTGGAGTACAATTGAATCAAGTATGTTTAAAAAAAAAAAAAAAGAAGAAGAAGAAGCAAAATGTTTGTAAATACACTGGGTAAAAGGAATTGGGAAAACTAAGTTATATGATGTTCAAGAACATTTTTTAAACAATTGAAAATATTAAAGGTTTAAGAAGAAAATAATTATAATAATATAAAGATATCCAACTATATCAGTTAAATGGATACAGGTTCACCTCACCATGCCTATACTTTATATTTCAAATATTTCCAATTTGGAAAAGTAAGAAAAAGATATGATTTTAAAAGAATTATTCAGTCCATTTAATAGCAATTATCAGAAACTAGTCTCTGGAAAGAGTGAGGGTACAATTTCCCCTACTATGATTTTGTTTTGTGATTCATTAACTCTGCTTTCCCTCAGGTAACAACGAACATATTTCAGATGGATGAACAATTCCAAGAGGAGACATGTTCTTATTAACTCTGAAGCATAAATTACATTTGCTTAGTCCAGAAAACACACAGCTAGAAATATGTTTAAACAAGAAGGTGTTCAGTACTCTGTACAGCCATCAACCAGAAATAATTTATGTCTCATAAAGTTCCCTAAGTTGTCCATATCTATTTACTCAAATGGAGCAAAAGGACCATTGCATTTTCATTACCATGACAACCACACATCAGGAGTTACTATATATGCTGTATTCAGTACTTAAGAGAGAACATGCTCCCTTTTCAAGAAAGCTATCATAGGAGTGCAATTTGGATTCTACTAACAATGTTGCCTTTTCTTTGCAGTAGCTACCAATAAAACATTATCTGAAGACATGACTACATTCTTGCCAAACAACAAGGCTTTTTTGAAGAATCTTTATTTGTGGGTGAAATTTTCAATGCTACATTAAAGGAAAAAGTAAGAAGGAAAAACATCTAATGGAAACAAAGGATACAAAGAAATTGGCCATAAAATAAAATCATCATTTCAACACTACTCACAAAATTTAGATTTAAAAAATGCACAACAATGAAAGAATGAAAAGCTCTGATATCAACTGGGCTACTTCAATTGAATGAAGAAAAAGCAAATTTCTTTCTTTGTTTAATTGTTATAGTCACCTGGGGTAATACATTGTATATTATACTTGATGCAGGAATAAACTGAACTATACTGATGTAATATAACCAACTAAAATCAAGAAAGAATTTTGAAACAGGAACTAGGAAGTTGCATTGGTCAAAAGTGCTCTCATGATCTGAATTCAGCAACCAAATCTGTTCTTGTAAATTGCTGTGGAAATATATTCTGTGATTTAACCTGGCAAATAACAACTAGGCAACTAGGAGAGACCCCTAGCATTTATTCAAGGGCATTAGATTTCCAATGGAAGTGAAAGTAATTTAAACCTCTGTAACTTCCACAAAGCCAGACCATTATTACAAGGGAGGAAAAAAGGGAGGCGGAGGAGTAATTTACAATTAGATGGATTGAGCCTCATCAGTACAGGCTGAGCATCCTCTTCCAAAATTCTTGGGACCACAAGTGTTTCAGATTTGGGAACTTTTTTGTCAAATATGTATATAAGCTTTAACCTTGAGCATCCCAAATTCCTCAAATCTGAAACTCTTTAGAGTATCATGTTCCTGCTCAAAAGTTTCAATGGCTCTCAAGAAGTTTCAGAAGTTTGAGCATTCTGGATTTTGGATTTGCAGATTAGGGATACTGAACCTGTGTTACAATTAGCAGTATGAAAATGTTTCCTTGTTCCAGATAAAATCTGTGATATTATGATGCTCATTTTTTATTGTTTTTAAACCTGAATATTTAAAATTAACTTGATAAATTTGCTCTTGAATCTGGGTTAGAAAATATGGAAAAGAAGTGTGCATCATCATATTTTACAGTCTGTAATTGAACTATTATAGGAGGTGTCTATCAATGAAACAAATAAGGTCAGAAAAGATTAATAAGCCTGACCTTCATTCTTCACCCAAGAATAGTTTTTAAAATACAGCAATATTTCCTCTATTGGGCTAAATTCATAAGAAAACAAAATGTGAAAGTCTTAAAATGGCATTTTTTTTAAAAGGCTCAGAAAATCACAGCAACAGTGACCCTGGATAAAATCTCCATGCTTCCTAAATGAAAATCAACTCCAAAATTGAAGAGGAAGACTCCCAGATGATAAACAGCCAATTTGAATCTTCATAACCAATACAGAGTTCTGTTTACCTGAATAAATGTTTAAGAAGATGATCACTCACGTCATAATCTAAATTAATACTTTTTGAAGAGTGTGGAGGGAATTCCAGTTGGAAGTTCATGCAAAATGAACCAGAGGTCTCCTGTGATAATCTCCTGTCATGGCTTATGGTTTGTCAAAAAATAACATGCTTTGGGGTTTGTGTATTTTTTTTTTTTTGAAAGCACAGAAACCAGATTCATCTGTCCTTCAGTCACCCACTTCATTATTAGATTCTCTTCATTTTTATAAATCTGGCAGGATTAAGAGGCTATGGTTTCTGTCATGTTTTAATGCATGCTGTAATGAGATTTGCATTTTTCTTATTAAAGTAATTAAATGCATTCCCTCCCCCCCTTTTTAGAGGTCTGTTTGTTTATTTTTAGAGGATTCTTTCTCCCACATGGAATAATAGTACTATCATGAATTAATATTCACTGGACAAGAGGCATCCTGAGACACAGTTAGTTTTCATGTTTTCTTTAGAGTACTTAAAATGAGAAACTAAAAGAAGTTGAAATTAAGGGAAGATTATGGTGTGGAGTCATTAAGATCATTGGGGATTGTGGGGTTTTGTTTGTTTGTTGTTGCTTTTGTTTTTTTTAGATGGAGAAGGAGTTTCAGTATGTTTGCCCAGACTGGCCAGTAACTTGCAATTCTCTTGCCTTAGCCTCCAAAGTCACTGGGATTATAGGAGTGAGCCACTGTGACCAGCTGAGATGATGTCTTAATTATTCTTATATCATCCCCACATGGGGAAACATATAGACATTTAACATATGATGGGAAATGACTAAACTAATGAAAGAACAAACATTTCTTTTTAGCTTGAGGCTTAATGAAATCTTAATTATACAGAATTCAGATAATGCTGCAAACATATCCTTTCCTCTGGATTCTTCAATAGAAAATGTATCACATGCTGACAAAGAGCAGTGAGCATATTGTAAGTTTTGCTGATTAGTAATATAGGTAGGAACAAATGCAGTTTTTAATTTACTTATATGAATTTATTAAGTGCTACTTTAATCCCCTTCAGAAGATACCCAGGAATCTGAGGAAATTTCAGCAAATATCTAAGACATTCAGATAATAAACCAAATTTATCCTGAACATTCAGAGACCAGACTCAAGGGGCATTTTTCTTTCACTGTGTTCTTCCTGGACAGAGGAAGAACTTAACTGTCCAAGTTAAGTATGTGAATTTAACAGGGTGAAGTACATTGATTGCACCTGTAGAATAGGAGGACATGGCTGAGTATACTCCTCTGACAGGGTTATACCATTGTAGAAGACGATCCCTGCAAAGGCTGAATATTAGATCCTTCAGAACAATAATACTTCCTCTTGACTCACTGTTCAAAAGGAGATGTATCTCTTTAATATCCCACGTCCCATTATAAACATGATCACAAGAGAACACAAAACCCCCTATGATCCACATATGTTTATTTTTTCCCTCAGGGGGGATTACTACACTGCTGGCTTAATGCTCCCAAATATAGAAGCATCTCAGAGCTTACACTTTGTGATCCCAAGAAAGCCATTTTTAGAAAAACTATTCAATATGGACAACAAAAAAAGTTGCACTATGACACAGATTAGTGAAACCTCTATAATTTAAGCTCAGATAATTCAGGAATAACCTGTTGACCACCAATCATGTACAAGGCATGTACTAGGGATGAAAGAAAAGAGAGAAAGTATAATTTCCTGCCCTCACTGGGATATCTCCATTTGATGAAGGACCAAAAGAGGGACTTCAAATTCCAAAGTAAGGTGGAATTCATCAGTAAGGCCTTATGTGACAACCAGCGGGACCTCAAGAGCAGGAGGGGGGGGGGACTGGAAATGGAATTCTCCATATTACATGTATCACTCACAAGAAGTTCTTACCTCCGTGCAAATGAAAAATGGGCTGAGGCACTGGGGGAGAAATTTCTTGGACTATCTTGAGGGCTATTTCCTAGAGAGAGAGAAAAGAGAAAACTTTACAAGATTTTGTTTTTTGCACCATTATCCACATGTAGAATCTTCTTTCCTTAGTAATAAGTTCCTTTACATTTTTGTAAAATGTGCTTTCCCCTTATAATATACTTTTGGTTTTTACCTGGAGTACATTTTGGAGGAGCAGTACCTGAGTTCCAGCAGAGCTTTCCATGTGTGCAAGATAAATGAATACACATAGTCACCCATATCACCAACTGCAGTCTTTAACACATTTAATAATCTAAAGATTTTGGCTCTATAGACTAGTGAATATCTAAATGTCTGGGTTGTAACCCTCTAGATGCTAACATTTCAAAGAGCAGAATGGGCAGGTACATGTTTCAATTTGGAGGTACTTCTATTTGGGGAGACCACCTTAGTAAAATGTCTGAGTTCTTGAAAGCAAATGCTCAAAGTGCACGTTTGAAATGTGTGTGTGTCAGGCTTAGTTATAAAATACTAGGAAGAATCCAGCCCCCTGGATATATTTCTAAAATGACCCAGATCAATCCTAGCATCGCTAGAGGGGTCCAGCAGGATTATTCCTTGTCAATATTTTCTTTAGCAATCTCTCTGCTCCTAAGCAGCTGGAGCATGACTGGCCAGGTGGTCTCTAAAAGCCATAGCCACACAGAGACTGGCAGCACGTATCTTCCCAAGTCTTTTGGAGGCAGAGGAGAGCACTGATTGCTCACTAGAAGGAGGGCAGCTCCTTTGGGGCTTGTTACTTTCTCTATTAGCCCACTCAACCTGCTACTGATCATTGAGAAAGCTTGGCAGGCAGCTGGCGAGGGCAAGTTCAGGATACTCCAGACCACCCTGTTTCTCTCTGCATGTTTAATTAGATTGGTGGAACTGACTGAGGACCGCCTGGGACTAGAGTTGATTTCAGTGAGGAGGTGAGGAAAGGCTACAAAGTTAGCCTGTATATTCTTGAAAAATGACTGATAAATCTGGAAATATGTTCCATCCCCCATCAGCAAAAGCCCAGTTGCCACAGCACTGGTTTCTTAGTAAAACGAAAATTGTAATTAGGTGTAAGGAACACAAGATTTCACATTAAAGTCAGTACCTGACTGTAAAGGAAAACAACCTATTACCAGTGTGCAGAAAGAATAGACTAACACATAAAGGAGGCTAAGTTTATGGTTACCTTGAGGACTTCTGGACTAGCTGCATCTCTACTGAAATTTTTCAATTAACTTAGGGTTGCAAATTTTATAGTGATGTCTTCAACAGATGCCATTAACTTTATGACAGATACTACAATCAAAGCTATTCAATGGGGGAAGTGCTGAGATGCCCATTTCTTTATGGATAGAGAATCAAGAAACATTTTTCCCCCTACTGCAATAAAATTTATTATGTCTTTGCATCTGGTGTTCCTTGGACCCTTGGAGAAATGGATTTTGCTTTTGCCATCTATTAATCCAGGATTCATTTTGTCCATTAAGCTACATTGCTAAATTAAGTTATTTTGACTCCTCTCAATAGCTTTCATTCCTCCCCCCTTAACTTAGCTTTTTACTCTTTATATTCCATAAAAGATCTCAATAATTTCAAGATAGCTAAAAAGTTTTGCTTCCTATGGGGAATAGTCTAATTCCAGAAATCTTTGAATAGATTTTTTTTTATTTGAGAGAAATATTCACTTTCCTCATACACCATATAGAGCAAATTACCAGTAAATTGTTAGGAGTAACAAAACTACTACTTGTTTGAAGCCAAGATATTTTGAGAACAGACCTGGCTATCTCATTCACTTAGAATGAAATATAAGACCAAGAAAAACTAGCTGCAAATTCTTAGCTTGTGTTCTTTGTAAAGAAAACACCACTATCTCTGGAGATTTGAATGTAATCAATTAGAGAGCTCATTAAATATTTTTACAAATCTGGAGAAAGAAGAAACAAGGAATTAATTTATAATCTTTTTTACTTTTAGAGATTTTTAGTCAGTGGTTCCCAGAAAACCATGTAACATTTTACAGTACATGGTAACCCATCCCATTGAAGATGGATGGGCAGAGAGATGGATATAAATGAAGCACAATTAAAAAAAAAAAAAGAGGAGGAGGAAAAAGAAAAGATGGCCATCATTAACCATCTCTCATGTTCTGATTTTGCCTTAACATCTTGGGCTTCCTTTCCTCGTGTATTGATTGAATCTTTTCCTCTTATCTACTTTTTAAAAAAAATTTCGCTACTATTTAACTTTTCTTATTTAAAAATAAATAGGGAGGGGGGTATAGGAAGGGTAGTAGAATACAATAGACACTAGTATGGCCCTATGTATAAATGTGGCTGTATAACCAATGTGATCCTGCAATCTGTACACGTGGAAAAATAAGATTACGTACCCCATTTGAATCAAATGTATGATATGTCAAAATCATTGTAATGTTTTGAGCAACTAATAAAAAAATTTAAAAATCAATCAATCAATCAACCAATTACATAATTTAACCCATTAATTATATTTTCTATATTATCCATCTATAATCTTTTTTCTGAATTCACTTCTAATAACCAAAGCATTATCAGGTATATTTCATTAGCTTTAGCTCTATCCACATATCCATCTAAAAGACATCAAAAGCCAAACATAAGGAAAGTTATCTTCCTCTATGTATGTTTTGCAAAGTTTTCTCTCATTGCAGAGGAATAATTTTCTATCAAAGATTTTTAGGCCTAATGTCTACACCTATATATTGTATATGATCTGAAAAACCTCCCTCACTATGGAGAAATCCTTGGTTTCCAATTCATTGCTATAAAATCTAAATTTGTAGTGTCTTCCCCATTATATAAATGTTACATACATATCTAATTCTACTACTGCTGTAGAACCAACCCCAAATTCCCACATCTTCAACTTCAAGGTTGCAGACCTATCTGTATGATCTTAATAATACAGATCACTCTTTTTCTCAGGATTGAAAAGCTAAGCTGAAATGAAAATATTCATAGCATACACAGAGGCATGTGTTGCTTAAGGACTAGACATGTTCCGAGATGTGTTGCTAGGCAATTTCATCATCCTGTGAACATTACAGGATGTACTTAAACACATGAGGGGGTATCCACATCACCAGGTGATGAAATCTTATGAGTCCACTGTCAATGTTTTGGTAGTACAGTCAATAGGATTTGCTGCGAAATGGAGTTGGGTAGAATGAAGGGGAAATAATGCTATGAAGTGCATGATTACATTATCAAGACTCTGCAGAGTCATGGATAGTACAGAAAATGATGAGAATGATGTGGACTAGAGTACCTGATAATTCCTTATGGACAAGAGACTATAGCTCAATTTAAGAGCAGTTCGGCAAGTTTTAGATAAGGCGAGAAAGAGAAGGGGATTTCTGGGAGGTCACAAGCAACCTAAACAGTAGGGAGATAAAAGAGACAGGGTTACTGGATGAAGAAAATTCATACTGGTAAAGTGAATAAGATTTAAGCTGTGTTTATGCAGGAACTAGTGGGGTGACTTAAGAGATGTTTGAATGCAAGGGAGAGGTGACACAGGTTTTCACCTGGCATGAGTGGGGTAGACAAAGGAGCATCAGAAGAGAAGAAGATAGATCAGGCAGACCAGGCAAAGAGAAAGAATATTGTGGTGGGCAGACCAAGTGTGATTGGTGATGGATTAGAAATCAGTGATGAAAAAAGAATATATACTACAAGTGAGTGGCATCTCCAATGCAGTGGACTGAGAGAACAGAATGACAAACCCAACAATCTGGAATCTAGAGAAAGCAAAGTTGTGGTGGTAAAAGAGGAAAAGGGTAAATGAGACTTTTGTAGACTTCTGTACCACATGTAACAAAAAATTCCATTCTTCTTAGGGAGAAATTATAAGACTAGCAGAATAGACACACAGAAGTCAATCTATGAAGTCTGTTCTTATTTGAAATAGAAATTGATTTCTGCTTGGTCTCTGAAGATTTAGTGACACTGTTTTGTTATACAATGATCAAAATGCTGCTAACAGAACAGATAAAATTATAAAGCATACCATCTATATTGTTAATGCAGAGATGAGGGCCTGACAGTTGCATACATGTGCAGCGCTTCCCCAGGATGAGAGCAAGACAGATTGAAAACAGAGTCCTATACATGACCTTCACTCCTCACAGCACTGCTCTCTGAATTCATCCACCCATCTGCAAAGCAATACCTGAGAGACTCTCAAATGAAAACTGGTGCCAGTTAATTCTCTGCCCATATGTGCAGCACTTGCTTATAACTCAAATCCTGCTGCTCCGGGGATTTGCTGGCTCTTGGATGTTTAAGTGCTAGGATACTTTATAGACTGCTGGTATCACAGTTGATGTTTCTGACCTGGTAAAGTAAGCTTTAGTAGTGGTCAGGTATTACTTAAGTAATTAACTTCATGATCCCCATGGGCAACAGCATGGCTAATACACAACAGTGTATCAAAACCATATTCTACCTAATGGTGCTACACAGGGTGCCTCATTTCAGAGGCAGTTATTGTTAAGAAAGTGATTTCCAGATTAATTAAATTGTTTGATTGCTTTGTAATTAGGTTGGAGAAGTCCCGTGTCTTTGCCACAGTGAAGCAAGCTACAAATCTTTTTAAAAGGCATATGCTCTACTCACTATAGATTATTAATGTGCTTTTAATAGCTGTCTGTGGATGAGACAGTTTCTGATGCCTTGAGTTTCTATCAGGACTGAGGGAATCCAAGAATAATGATAATTACCATTTGAAACTCCTGGTGGATCAAACAGTAAGCCCCCATTTGAACCCTTGTTGTCATTACTTGGTAAGCCTCTTAAATTAATTGTGACATTTCATACGATAACAATCAGAGTAGTGTTTCTTACTGTTTTGTAGGAGATCCTCAGCAGCATATGGCCACTGTTCAAAATCCTTAAGAGCAAACTTAATCAAACCTAGGATCTCCCTGCAAAATGAATGCCAGCAGATGAAGAGGCTATTGAAACTATT